GGCTACGTAAAGCTAGATGCAGAGAAGAGTGGACGCTCTTAGAGGACATCGTAATAACTCGTGTAGGCACAGAAGGCTAATCACCTACTTGACTATTAATCACGAAACAGACATCTGAGGCCCAGACCTAAAAGGTTGTAGTGCCAATGGTTTTTTACGTTCGTTAATTAAACCATTTTCAAGAACTTATGTCCAAGGACGAGCTGTAACATAGAAATTCACCGGCTTGCCGATTAATTATTAGTGTACTTGACATTTTTATGTACTAGGATTAGTATCTTACAGCAATAAAGGCTAATATTATTATATAAACCCGAAAAATTAAAAGACATATTCATGGATTTGCAAAGAGGGCAAAAACTAAATTAAATAATTAATATCATTAGGTTTTAATCTAAAAATAGTGATGTGTCACCTGATTGCCTTTATTTTTATATTTATAGTTTTATATTTTTATTTATATTGTTAAACCTATTGTTACATAAATTTAAGAAAGAACCACCACTATGTGAAACCAGCTGCCCACTGAAGTATTTCCGAACCAACTAGACTTAGGGTCCTACAAGAAAAGAGCGTACCAATTCTTAAAAGGCAACTCGTGAGCCCTATGACATTGAGTGGGCGGCGGTTAACATCAGGTGAGCCTCCTGCCAGTTTGCTCTCTGTTCTACAAAAAAAAAGGGTGCGTGTACTTATGTACGCGCGTATGAAGTTATACTTCTTTGGCTTTCTTTATTTTTTTAAAATAATTAATAACAAATATTTAACGTTAATAATTTAATAATATTTAATATTTAGGATATTATTCAATTATTAATTAATATTAATAATAATTATTATTTTATTATATTATTAATTCAATTTAATAACTAGGTATGTTTCATAACCTTTTAACTAAGTAACAATAGGTCTTTGTGAAAAAGCATTGCTAAATTTCTTTGAAAAAATAATTAAAACTCCTTTATTTGTTTAAAAGGTAAATGTCATTATGTTCATTCAAAATTCATTGGCATTTCTGGCATAACTGCTAACTTCACGCATATTCTATTTATTTTTACTTGTAGATGTCTTATTCCCATCTCGCTCGCGCACGCTATAATCACACTGACAACTTTTTGTCTCAGGTGCGCGCGCATCGTAACATTTCACTATCATCAATTTTTCATAACGCGCCTAAAGAAGTATAACTTCAAAAAAACAACCAATATACGAACGATATCTTGACACATACAGTTACGATTCCCTCAATATCGCCTTGGGACCTGCAGACTACATTCGTCTGGAGCGCTATTGGAAGAGTACCAGCACTGAAGGCAAGAGAGAATTGAGAACTATTAATAGTACTGTAATTCCCTAAGAATTTCCGCTGAATAAAATTATCACGTGCGTCATTTGGCCCGTCTTACTATTTCGTCACTTCGCCATTAAAGCGTTTTATAGGTAAACGATAATTCTCATAAAAAACAAATGCAAGTCATTTGGCTAAATCTCTCGTCTCTTTCAGTCAAATTGTGTTTACGTTGCGATGAAAAGAGACAAAGAACAGTGCAAAACACATGTTTCTGACAATTGATATTTATTAATTGGTTAATTTTTGGAAGGATTTACATGGGGGCCTCATAGCCTAGCGTTCTTATTAAGTGGCAGCTAGGTGAGGGGTACCGGGTTCGATTCCCGGTTCGAGGGCAAGTTTTAATTTAATTTAAATTTGTTCTCGGCCTTTGGGAGGGTTGTGCGGTACCGTGCGAGTGCCTAAACCGTACATGGAGAACACGGTCGAAGTTCTAAGGCAAACACGAGTTATAAAAATCTTATACTTGACGCTGGCTAATGCACAAACCAAAAAAAGATTCACATAACATCGTTACCATGGTAACGAATCCAGTACAAACGTTATAAACAAGGCGTAGAATATGTTCGTGTCACCGTTTAGTTCCAAAACCAGTTTCTAGCAAAAATTTTATGAAAAATCACTCAAATTTCATTATAGTTAACAATTAGAGACCTACAATCTTTTAATGTTGACGTTACTATACATATCTATATGATTAAATGTATTTTGACTTTATACTAACAAAGCGTTAAAGACAACTGTATGGAAAGGACCAAGAGCAAGAAGGAGAAGAGGTCGCCCAAAAAACGGTGGATAGAAGAAATAGAAGCGGTAGCAGGAAACGAATGGAGAAAGAGAGCCATAGACAGAGTCAGTTGGAAAAAGCTGGAGGAGGCCTTTACCCGTGAAGGGGTTCCGATGGAACTGAAGGAAGCTAGAATATAGAATAACAAGCAGAAGAAAAACAATATAGGTATAAAAATGTAAAATAATCTAAGCTGTGTATTATAATTTGTTTTTTTTTGTCATGATTGGAAATTAAACGGGCTTTATTATTATTATTACTAACAAAGCGGAGATATATTGACAAATATCATAATATTTAAACATGGTTTTGAAACCAAAATCAGTCTCTCCATTATACCTATCCACATCATGGACCCGACCCTATTCTAAATTAAGCTAGGATGCGCTTATAATTGAAAAAAATAATATTCTGATAGTCCATTGAAACATTTGCTGAACATTTTTCATGGGGTCAATACAAGCATAACTTCAAGTTTGTGGGGTTGGATAAAGTCCAAGATGGCGGCCGGGGGGTTTTACTTATAACTTTTTGAATTTTGGATTTATGATAAAAAGTTAAATAGACATAATTGTAGGCACAGCGATTTGCTACAAAATGTGTCTTTACAAGTTTTATGTACGAAGGACAGTTTAGGAGATATAGCCAAAATCGTGGTTTTTGGACCCCTTTTTCCAAGATGGCGGCCGGGGGACAAGCACGCCAACCCCACAAAGTTGAGGTTAAGCTTGTATTGACCCCTCCTACAGGTCCCATAAATAAAATTGCGTCCTACAGGTCCCATAAACAAATGTTCAGTTTGGCCCTCAAATTGTAACATTTCAATGGACTATGAATGTTATCAGACAATTCACGTCAAGTCATTCAAGTATGGAACGTACCAAAGCTTTTAGATTTATCAGATAAATCCATTAAGACTAATAAAAGTGCAAAGAATATTCATGATGCACGCGCTGCGAGATAAAAATATCATTAGCACCGCGAAGTGATTTCAATAAGCATTTTTTATTTACCTTATTTAGTTTCCTGCTACTTTGTTGACGTTGTCTTGTACACACGTCTTACATACAAGAAAATCTAATAATGTAAATCATTCTCGACTCCATTTGAATACACAAAAAAATTCATCAAAATCTGTCCAGCCGTTTTGGAGTTTAATCACAAACATGCACAGAATATTTATATATATATATATATATAATATTGAATTATATAAGGTAGGTATATACCAGCTGTTTATTTGCTGTATAGATAAATAACCTAGATACCGACTGCAGCGCTACCCAAACGTATACAAAAAAATTCATTCAAATCGGTCCAGCCGTTTAATAGATGTGCTTTCTGTTCTTTGAAATCTCTACTTTCCGATGGTAAGAAATATATATATATATATTACTATAGTTAAACTTCTCAGAAAATGCAAAACATGTAATCGAAAAATGCAGTAAATTTGTCACAATGTGACTTTTTCTATAGGACTTTTAGTTTTGCCGGAAATCGAGATAAACCGTTTTTTACCCTTAAAACTCCACGAACTCCTGCGAACTTTTGGTTCGCAGAGACAGCGGAGTGTGTAGTATTTTATTAATAAAGTTTTGTAATTTTATTATATACATAAATACAGAACAATGACAAAACTTTATCGGCAGGGCAGCAATACTGCTTTTAACCGATGTCTATCAATGAGGAATAATAAGAATAAAGGAAAACTGCAAAAATAAATCCTTGAAAACAAAACAAAATGACTTAAAACTTTGCCCGATTCAATTTCGTAAATTTTGATAAGATTTTTGTCTAGCGCTTTAACAAGCGTTATAGCAGTCTAATTTATATAACACGGTTGTTATATACATTAAAAATTCATCAGGAATCACAGTATATAATGTAAAAAACCGCACCAGAACCAGAATTTTGAATTTAATGTAGCAATGTAAAATCCATAAAAATCACGATAATTTTTAAAACAAACTCTTTATTTTTATCATAACCTTTTAGAAAAGATTATTTTTTATAATTATTTTGGAAATAAGTCCAAAAGAAGGTCACATGCAATTCTTGAAATATAATCTATTAGAGAGGTCAAAATATTACATTCGACCGTGAAGAAAAACTAAACAAATGAAATCTTTGACGAGTTTTTAAGAGTTATTTGCAGCGAGTTTTTTTAGTTAAAATTAATCTTTAAAGAACTTTATTTCTCATTACAAAAAAGAATGTATTTTATTTACATGAGAAACTTAATATGTATATACGAACGAGATACACGTCGCAATCAGCCGTCCCAATTTTAGTCTGATATGTATCTTTAATGCACTTTTGAATTGGTTAAACGCGGTAATATTACGAATTTTTTGACGGTAATTGATTAAATAATTGCACACCCTCATACTTAATAGACTTCTTCAAATAATTTGTTCGCGGCTTCGGCAAGATAAGCAAACTCGCTCGACGAGTATTGCGTGTAGTAGTGTTTGATTTTTTAAATGATAAGCTAATATGGAGAGAGTTATTTAATTTTTTTTAATTAAGATACAGGTGCTATAAAGATACAGAAGTTTAATCGTCATAATTTTGGTTTCTTGGTAGATTTATAAATAGTGCTTTTATTCATTTATATTGTAGTGTTTGTTAGAAATTTTGTTTTTGATTGCTGCACATATTTCAATTAGATATATGAAATGTGGCTTAAACAACTATAAATTAAATGACGTACAGATTGCGGAATTCATTTTGATATTGTCCAAATTCTCCCTACTGACTTTAGTTAAGTAATTATGTGTGATATATGAAAGTTCCACTTTAAATATGTATCCATTCTAAAACCCCTTAATTTATTGTTTAATTTAAAGAAAATTAACTTACCATTTCATCGTAAATAGTCTTTGTATCGGCTGTGCAGTCGTACGCTGCATCGTAGGTGAACAGTTTGTCCTGGCCTTTGGGATTGTCGACTTGCACTGCTCCACGTTCCGGCCACACTTTTACAACCTGTTACAGACATTATTGCTATTATTTTTGATATAGGTCATTTATGCATATTGGGAAACATATGGGTCCTAGTATGGAACCTTGCGAAGACTGTATTTTATTCTAAATATTTTTTTAGTTAAAGGATTATAACATACAGATTCTCGCATTTTTTTAGAAGTCTGAATGACAACCACCCATGGGCATCAATTGGATTTGATTTATATAAATGTGACTTGACTTACACTATCTATTTATACATGCAAAATAAATGAAGTATGAGAAAACACCTCCAAACAGATATTTGAAAGATTTACGTTGAAGAGTAAATCTGTACCTATATGACAATCGCAAATAATCAAATATGTAATCGATTCCTAAATTCAAATTTAGCTAAGCTTCCACCACCGTTTAGTACCTAAAGCAGAAAATTGAACAAAGCTTGGCATTATTTCAGTTATTACCCAAAATATTATTATTGTTACGTTTATAAAACTTCTATATTAACTAATCTTTGGATGCAACGCCAAATGTGAGACGATATAATTTCTCTAGAGACAAATTGTGTTACCTAAGAACAAATGCAACACCTGAAACTGTAACTTTCAATAGACCAAAATATAGATTTTACTCGTAAAGTGAAGGAAACACTTAGAGGCCTAACAAAAGATCGATATGATTCTTCCAATAGGGCTGATATCACAAACTTGGGATCGCGCTACATAAAAACTCAATATTGAAATTGGGATCGCGGGGGACCATAGCTGGGATCGCGGGGAACCAAAGTTGATATTGCCCAGTGGCGTCACAAGGTGGTAGGGCTGGCAAAATGCCACGGGCCCCCAACCCAAGAGGGCCCCTGCCCAAGAGATATTATGTTCTATGGATGAATGTGAAGTCTCCAATGCATTGGGCTAGCGTGGGGACTACAGACCATTCCACCCGCCTAAGAGAGGAGACCTATGGCCATTAGTGGGACATACAACGTGTAATTGAGTATGGTGAAATTCTCGAAGTTTATTAAAATTAAACTGAGAAGGGACGATTCCCATCAAAAGAATAGCCACGAAAGACTATTGCCACGGGACCCAGATGGTATAGTTACGCCACTGGTATCGCCATAGCAACGAAGAAACTCAGCCAAAATTTGGGTCCACCAGTAGAAGAATAAGGCTTAAACATCTAGCTTTAAGAGCAATAATAGGCTGGAACTCGATAGGTAACAAGTATCTTTAATCCTTTTGTTGGTTGTGTTAAGCCGTTGGCTTGAATGTAGGAAAACCTAGCAGTGTGACCTAGCATTTAGGTCATCGGGCGAGGACGTAATGCCTAGCAATTAGCACCTGCCTAGGATTACCATTCCACTTTCATTTAAAATTCATAAGTCTTCCTTCAACCCTTTTTATTATAAAATTTATCTATCTGTTTCAGTTATAATTAAATGGGTAGCCCAAAGTAAGGAAGATAGTTATTCTGAACTAGAAATTTATTATACAGTTTTGGTTACGGAATTTGGTCTAACAGCACAATATATTTTAGTGGAATAGTCAAAGTTTTTAATAGGTTTAACCACCAGAGAAAAACAACAAAATTCAATCAAGATTTGTGTATCATTTATTTGATTTGTTTCAATTGGCTCCTTAACACTTGTCCAATTCTCATTTATTGTAAAGAAAATTAGCTTTATACTTAGCTTGGATACTAATTTTATAAAAATAGGAAGAATACAATCGGGTCAATTTGCAAATTTGGCTATATCATCGTTTCCAAGTTTAAAGTGAGTAAATCACCAGGCTGATTGCACTGTGTAATTCTATAAAATACCAAAATTTTGTGTTACCAAAGTTGTGATAGGAAGTAATTTATTAAAACCGTTTCGCTTGCAAAATAATTATCTGCTTAATCTACTGTATAATAAGCGTAAAATGAGGAATTAAGCTTGATTAGGCACCAATTCATGTGTCTAGTTTCAAAGTACGGCGTGTCCAACACGAATACACGAATGTGTATAAATAAAATATTGTATAGTGAGAAATAATTAATACTTATTTAATCCCCAGATAAGCTAAGCTAGCATTGATCTAAGCTTTCCTGTTTCCATGGCAACGAATAAAAATTAGGTTCAGGTGTGTATTGTTTCCATGAAAAGCTGAATATAGGGAATTTTAAATAATTCCCTCAAATATAGTAGAGTAAAACGATGGCTGGCTCACATGTCATGCTTGTGAACAGGTGCCGCTTCCGGACTCTGGACTGTTATTTAATACAAATAAAGAGCGGGCCGTGTCTCCCTTCTTCTGGTTTCTTCTATCTCTGTTTGCCATAGTCATTTTGTATGATGATTTGATATTTTAAAAGAGTACCGAGAGTTATTTAACGCTGGCTTTTTCTCTTGGCCTACACCCTCTGTCTTCTTTGCCGATGTATGATGTCTACCGAGACAAATTTAATGACGTGGAATAAGTGATATATATATTCCATAATAAACATATTTTATTTTTTTAAACAATTGTGTTAGGTGTGAACTAATCCACACAATGTCAATGAAGCGTGCCTACGCGCATGTGCCGCCAATAACCGTGAAATATCAATCATTATGTAACCTGCTGTCATAATAATGTAATAATTTCCATACGACTTCGTTCGAGTGGAAATAACGGTATTAGGCCAAAACATTTGCTTACTGCGGGGAACCCGAACTCCCCAGAACATTTCATGTGGTATAAAATATACATTTATTTTATAATGCTAATTTAACATTCATAAAAAAAAGGTCTTGGCCTCAGATTTCTGAATCTGTTTCATGATCATTTTTAAATCTAATAGGCAAGTAGTACCTCCAGTGCCTGACACACGCCGTCGACTTTTTGGGTCTAAGACATGTCGGTTTCCTCACGATGTTTTCCTTCACCGTTCGAGCAAATGTTAAATGCGCACATAGAAAGTCCATTGGTGCACAGCCGGGGATCGAACCTACGACTTCAGGTGTGAGAATCGCACGCTCAAGCCACTAGGCCAACACTGCTCTTATTTGATACTTACTGGATACAAATCCATAGATATGGCATTGTATCTTGCTTTATGACAATGTACATTCGAAGCAAAAACGACAAGGTTTTTAATTAATTATATTCATTTGTTTTATTATTATTAGCTTTGTTATAATATTGTTGTCTGTGTTTGATTTTTCATGATTTCGCCAATTCTGATTTGTGTTAAGCGTTCGACAGTGTAACCCACCGTCAGAGCATATAAAAGATTATTTACAAGCACCCAATCCAAAATTTCCTTTAGAATACTTCTGTATATCTCAAGCACTACCTTTTCCACTCGATCTGAATTAGTACAAATTAGTAAACACCACCACCTATTAACAAGTGTTAAAGGCACCTACACCGTTCACACCTGTAATTTGCCATCAAATTTGTTCACAGCTTTTGTCGACAGACGATCGTACCAGGCCTTTTCTTCGTGTCTTACTCGTTTCTTCCCCTATAGATTATTAATGTGTCACATAAATGACAAATTGAGAAAAAAAAACAATTTATACCAAGCAACTTAGGGAGCGTTCAAGTATTACGTAACGAATTTTGGGGGGGGTCCTTTTGTAAAACGTTACGATGCGGGGCGGGGATTGAATTAAGCCGTTATTGTTAATATAATTTTCGACTTTTCAGTACCTTACATCACATAATGGTAACTTTTAGGTATAAAGAGTCACTAGGTGGTCACGAAACGATTTACTATACTTGGGTACAGAAAAACGTAACGGCGCGTTACATGAGGGGGGGTCAATAATCTCCAAAAATTGCGTAACGTCATAATTAAACGCTCCCTTATACAATCATTAACAGTAATAAAATAAAATATTGTATTTATGTACCCGGGTAAAAAGCCTCCTCCAAGGCATTCCATCCTCCCAAGACCTGGCAACGAAGCATCATTGCAGAGGTGAGGGAAGCCAGAATGTCGTGGAGCTGCCCCGAACCAGGCTGTTTGCCTACACTCATGGCCAGGTCATGTGGCCCAGTGGACTGAGGCATAGGTCTTTATTACACAATTTTCTATCTATATCCTCTCTATTATATCTTTTTCCTATGTCATCGCAATTTTACACATAGACATACAAATATATATATTTGCCAGCCGTTAATGGCATTTTTTTCACGTTAACATATATTTTTGCAGTTACCTAAATAGTTAATATAGCGATACATTACTGTTTATTACACGTACTATAAGCGTTAATTAATTAATCAATTGTTACGATTATATATTTTACGTTTAAGATAGTCATACAGCGTACAATGTTTAATCAACGTACTAGAAGCAAAGTTTGGAAAATCATAAGCCTTTTAATTGCATGTACGGCTATATTTTATTGTAATTATTTTAAGAAGCGACTACAAGTTATGGTATCTAAGATCATTCTCAAGTGACGTTTTTCTTTTTAAATAAAATCTTTAAACCTAAACTTTTCGCGCGTTAGGGAATAATGATGAGAGTAAACTTACAATGCGCGCGCACACTGGCACAAAAAACCGACACCCAGAAGTTAGCTACACTCAACATTTTAGCATTTTGATGTTATACTTCTTTTGGCGTGTTAGGGAAAACTTTTTTACGGATATTAATTCACAAAATTACGCGACACGTAGTTACAAATTAACATTTTAGCATTTTGATGTTAAATACTTTTGGCGCGTAGGGGAAAATGATAATAGTAAATTTTTACAACTTTTTACGAATCAACCGTCACAAAATACGTCACCCCCTGAAGTTTGCTTTACACTCAACATTTTAGCATTTTGATGTTATACTTCTTTTGGCGCGTTAGGGAAAAATGATGAGAGTAAATTTTTACAACTTTTTTACGAATATTAATACGCGCACACCGTCACAAAATACCGATACCCTGAAGTTAACTATAATCAATTTTTTTGATTTTTCTATTATTAGTGTAGTTTTTTCTACAAATGCATAATAGAAGAAAATATTTTTATCTGGTTACGCTCAAAGAGAGGTATAACTTCTAAAGCACCTTGGCGTGAGGGCATGTACATAGTACACACTCGTTTTTTTGCTACTGAAATCAGGACGAGATTTTATCCGCTAGTTTATAAATATTGCAATAAATGCAAAGATGAAAGTAAACATGACCTTGTGGTTTTACGTAACGCGGCTCGCGGTCGGAACGCATTGATGCTATTCTTACGTATTTAATCAGCCTACAAACTTATATCCAATATATTATATTATATTATATTATATTATATTATATTATATTATATTATATTATATTATATTATATTATATTATATTATATTATATTATATTATATTATATTATATTATATTATATTATATTATATTATATTATATTATATTATATTATATTATATTATATTATATTATATTATATTATATTATATTATATTATATTATATTAGACATTAAGAAAATACTGATCTAATGGATTATTTGACATTCTAAATACCATTTTAGATTATTTATTGAAGTTATACTTCTTTTGGCGCGTTAGGGAAAAATTATGAGAGTAAATTTTTACGATGCGCGCGCACACCGTCACAAAAAACCGACACCCTGAAGTTAGCATAGTTAACACTTTAAATACAAAATGTTTATTTCTTTAATTTTGTAGAAATATTTTTTTTGTGATATTTAAATAAACTTTCTACTGTTACTGTCGTTTTTCTACAAACGTAAGGCGAATGATAAAAAAATTAAAACGGTTTTTATCTTGTTACGCCAAACAAGTATAACTTCTAACGCGTATACATAAGTACACACACGTGTTTTTTAGTTTTCTTTTTTTTTATGATTGGACAATGCACACCAATTGACCTAGTCCCATGCTAAGCTGGTGAAGCTTGTGTTATGGGTACTAGGCAACGGATATACATTATACATACATATTATAGATAAATAGACATATAAATACATATTTAAACACCCAAGACCTAAGCACAACACCAAATGCTCATCACATCGATGTTTGTCTCAGCCGGGGATCGAACCCGGGACCCATGGATTCGCAGTCAGGGGTACTAACCACTAGACCAATGAGCCGTCATATTAGTGACTATAGACTGTAAAAATAAAATAAATTCTTTGGTCTGGGCCTTACATTTCTGTATCTCTTTCATGATCAATCTAATAGGCAAGCAAGCAGGTGATCAGCCTCCTGTGCCTACACACCGACTTTTTGGGTCAAGCCGGTTTCCTCACGATTTCCTTCACTGTTCGAGCGAATGTCAAATGTGTAGAGCACAGCCGGGAACCTACGACCTCAGGGATAAGAGTCGCACGTTGAAGCCTCTAGGGCAACACCGCTCTGTAGACAATCATAAACTATAGAGTACAGTAGTAACAAAACTCTTTAACTACAATTTCTTTAGTACACGTAAAAATATCCAATAACGAGGTCACGAAAACATTGCCCGCATTTTTTATTCTATTTAACAAAAAGAAAAATCCTCGTGACGGGAGGTCAATGAACCTTTCCCCAACGTTGAAATGGCAGCTCATTTTAACAAGCCTGTTGTCAACACAATGCCTGTTCTATATATTTCATCTGTAGTACCTCAATCGTATCGTGAGTATGATTTGCTCCAGTTACAACAATTTGCATGACTCAAAATTTGGCGATTAAAAAGTGACGGAGAGTTTTTTTTATTGAACAGGGGGCAAACGGGCAGGAGGCTCAATTATCCGCCCATGGAAGTCCATGTCTCAATGCAAGAGGGCTCCCGAGTGCGTTGCTGGCCTTTTAAGAATTGGTGCGCTCTTTGCTTGAAGGACCCTAAGTCGAATTTGTTCGGAAATACTTCAGTGGGCAGTTGGTTCCACTAAGTTTCCTTTCAGAGTTTCTAGTCAGTTCTTTGTCGATCTGGTAGTAAATGTAAATTTATAATTAATTTAACATTTTTTCTGTTATTATTGTTGAATAAAGTTATTTTGAGTTTGAATGTTACAGTATAACTTCTTCCTTTAAATTTCTTTCGTCCACATCGTATCCCTAACGTTCGTAATAACTACTAACTGACGTGAGACTGATCTTAAATTAATATCCTTTATAGTATAAGATCCCGCTATACAACGACCTTCACCGAGATGAAAAAAGTTCAAAAAATTTACTACATGCAAATTATAAAAAAATTTTTTTTTAATATTAATTAAACATACTCTGGACTGAAATTTGCTAGGCAACCCATATGGATTATATTTATTGAATATTAAATTATATATAAAATAATTTCATTAAATAATCTGTGAAGGTGTTGTATAGGGATTTGACATATTAGTTTAGTTTGTTTGTTGTTCCTGTTTAGTTATTTTATTGAAGTGAAACTTCTTTATCGAGGTTGGAAAAAAATTTAGTGTACCATTTTTTCGTTACGCGTCACATTTTTCGGTTACGCGCCATGTTGCTTTTTGAAGTCAAACTTCTTTATCGGCGTTGGAATGAAACTTCTTTATCGACGTATGGGAGAAATTTTGTAGCAAATTGTCACGTTTTTCAATGATAGTAATAATTCTATTACAATTAATGAAATTCTATAATAATCTTCGTAGTAATAAGGTAAAATGAAATATTTGTATTCATGTCTATGATAATAAAAGCCTTTTGTTAAACTTTATCTAATTTAACGAATTTCTGTAAAGTTGCATATAGTAGACCATTTTTCGAAAAATAAGATCATAAAGAAGTTTCACTTCTTACGTGTGTACACGGTACACCTAGTACACGCACAATTTATTTTCTTCAAATATAATATGTATTTTTGCACTTCTTGCCTACCTTATCTAATTTAATACATTTATTTTTCTCACATTGGTTGCCTGGATGAGATCGCTCGAAAGCGATAAGGCCGCCAGTTGCCCTCTTTTAATTATGTTAAATGTTTATATTGTAATACAACAAAGTGTAAATTAATAAATATAACTACATCGTATCAATATGAAACAAATTCATCAAACATGACTAACGCCGACGCTTTTGGTTAAGATTTTCCGTTTATGTACAAATATTCGTATAAAACATTACTCCAGGTATGTGGTCTTATATGGGACATACTTATTTGGACTGACCACTTATGGCCAGGTCAAGATAGCCAATACACGATTGATTTTAATAAGGGACTCGCTTGTGATGTCGTGTGTACAGTTTGTATAAAGATGGATTCAAATTAAAATATTCTAGTATTAATAACGTTTTTTAAAGGTCGGCAACGCATTTGCGAGTCTGTCAATGTGACTCATCAGACGAGCCTTCTGCCAGTTTGCCCCGTTATAATATAATACAAAAATTTAACGCCATTGTAAAGTGGGAGTAGACAATCTTTATATCTTAAGAATGAAAATGCCGATGAAAATTATGTTTCAATAAAAAAGTAACAAAATATACGTTTCCTTTACGTTAATTTTTAGTTATATCATGGCAACACAGGTACGAATTCCGACAAAGCCTCAATATTAATTTAATAACTAAGAATGTCAATAAATTCTTGTAATCTTTATAAAATATAGCGTAACTTTTGTATTTACTTAAACCAGCAGTGTAGTATAGTAAGAATTGGTACGCTCTTTTCTTGAAAGAGCCTTACGCCTGAACCCAACAATCTCAGATTGAAAACCATCTGAGATCTGACCGTGACAGTCGATCGACCCCTATCTGCATCCCAATAACCAAACCCTACGAAGACAGTCCATTTTTGGCGACGGATAAAATGCTCTTTGTCGTTCCATTTTACCGAGTTTTCACTCATATTTGATAATCATTGTAAACCAAATAAAATAAATAAAATCCGTTCAAATAACATTAAAATTTACATATGTGTTTAAAACGTAACAAACAGTTTTTTTATTTCTTTAAAATCTGTTAAAAGTATTAACTGAAATAGTAAAGTATTAAATCGAGCTTTCGTCAACATTTTCATACAAAGATCTATCCACAGACACCGATACGACATGGATAGCTTGTATCGACAGATGGCTATTACAATCCGTTGATTGGTTATTGGCACACTTGTTACAACATTTGGATTAAGATTACTATCTCAGATGGTGGATTATGGATTGAGATAGGTTATTGGGTTCGGGCGTTAGTCGAATTGGTTCGGAAATTCGTCAGCTGGTAGCTGGTCCTACATAGTGGTGGTGCGCGGCAAAAACTGCCTTAAAACGTTCAGTTGTGGAACGACGGACGTCGAAAGAATTTAGTATTCGTCGACGTGCGATACTCAATTTGCAGTTCGTCGGTTCAAACCCCGGCTGTTAGGTATATATTTATTGACGCGATTACCATAAACATCATAAGCAGACCTATCCATATGTTAGTTCATGTCCTTAATAATCGTCATAGTCTTATAATAGCGACGGATCTGACAAATACTAAACTTTACAGGGCAGCCATTTCAAAATAATATAATCATGTTAGTTTTGGTCATAACTATTTAAATTCATATTTTGTTATTATGAAAATTGGCATACAAGCAAATAAAAGGGTTTCTTTTGAAACAAAATAAAAATAATAACATTCAATTACACAGTTTTCTAGAAAAATCACATGCGTCTATGAGCGTTTATCAAATCCGTCACTTTACCGACTGATTAATTTGAAAATTAAAACCAAAGAATTTTTTTAAATGTAGCCGTAATATTTAGTCAATATAGTATCCAAATAAGATAAAAAGTGGATTTTGGATGTTTTTCAAATCCGACATTGTTCTACGATCATGACGTAATATGTCAGGAACAAAAGACTGGTCCATGTCTAAGGAAACATTATCAATGAAACAAATGAAGAAATGTATAACCAATAGCAAATTTCAAAGTCAAGACTTCTCTGCTATGAGAACTACTCAGTTTGACATACAAGAGTCATACTTAGCACTAAGCCTTGACTAATCTTACCCAAAGACAATTAAAAGGTTATTGTGCTAGTAGATTTTTATGTTTATATACAACAGGATAAATTTATCTGTATGTCATTTCAGGTAACTATAATCACATAATGCTAGTTTTCTTAATTAATAGACCCTCATTAAGAATATTAAATGCCTTTTAGCATAAATGCATTAATTAAATCACTATGCCAATGTAGATATTTAAACAAACAATCCTTATTAAGAATGTCATTTACATACATGTATTGAGATCTAAACAGTTTAACAGGAAATTATATTTATGGAATACACAAGGTTATGGTTAAAACTTGAATATTTGATATCAGACATATCTTGTAAAGAAGGTAGATACCACATAAACCCTATTTACATGTAATAAATATAAACATTATTTTAAAACTATTAATATTTGAAGTGAGGGTACTTGTAAAAAAAGTCTAATAATTTATTTAATTATATAAATAAACGCAGCTTTATTATGTAAACATTGTCTTTGTATTTAAGTAAACAAAATTACACTATGATTCAGAACTAGATCTCCATGAGTCAGTTATTTCTGTAAACAGTGAATTTAAAACGAAAGCAATAAAAATAATGTTATTGATAATTAACCTTTTTGCGTAATAATAAAAATATATGATTTCAATAAGAAATAATTTTGTAATGTTGGTCAAGGATGTATTACAATTGGATAAAACAAGAGCTTATTCTTACGTCTTAAAACATGCATTTTAACAATACATATTTTAATAATTATTAGGGACATCGTATTGTTTGTATGACGTTATTAACGTACGCTGTATGACTTTGTATGGGCGTAAAATCGTCTTAGCCCACGTAGGTATAACACGTGAATCACATTTAATCTAATCATAGAAATTATTCAAGATTTCGGCTATCATAAATGCCGTAACATTGAAAAATTATTTGCGCGTTTTATAAGCGATCGATAGGAAATCATTCGTTGCGATTTGCGAATCATGATTAAAAATTTGTGCGAATTTTCTTTTACGAAATATTGCGTGTAATATTATTGTTTATCGATAGTCCGGTAGCTGTTTTAAGGCGACGCACTAGGTTTGCGCATCCCTTGTTCCCTAAATCAACAAAACAAATCTTACCTCTTCATAACTTTCGTTCTTTTCCCTTTCGGATAGAGGTCGGCATCGGACAACCACCTTAACACACTCATTCAGAGCCGTTCGTGGTCTAGCCGACTTCTCCATCTTCAACCACTTATAATATTGCTGCTAAATTTTATACTCAATCTAGAAAATATCGATCCATCCAGGGTGCACGTTTAACATCACCGATTTATTTAATCAACACACAAATTTCACTAATTTATTCACGATTTAATAATTAATCAACTGATCAAAACAATAAAATTATAAACAAGTGTATTACAATGTAGAAAAATAAATAAAATCGTAAAATTCGAATTCCGCTTTTTCATATAACACCACATCGAGCGGACATTTCTATGCAACTGACGTTTATTTTCAGATTTGCAACGATTTTTTGTTGTGACAGTTTTACGTTCAGAAACATTGCAATAATAATAAAAAAGTATATGTCATGTTTGTATTAACCAATTAGATTGTTTTTAGCTCTTTCCTTAAAAATTAGAATATGAGTTAAATATAAAATAGCACCAGAAATTAAAACAAATTACAAAATCACACAAGTAATGAGATAAATTAAACATCACAATTTACAAATACGTCGAGAAACATAAAAGTGTCACAAGGAAAATATAATATGACAATTGACATTATTTTTAATCATTAATGGTTTGGTTTGTTTTGCTAATAATTCGTTTGAAATAAAGTTTGATACATCATACAAGTAACAAGTTACACGGTGTTTAGTATTTCGAAACGTATATTAGTTTTGTGGCTTATTTTTTTCCAGCACAAGAACAATGACAACTCTTACAATCAGTTTAAAACGTCCTAGTAAAGTTTATCATGAAGGCGTACGTGTTGTTTGGACTCTAAAATTTATTTAAATATAATAAATAAAAACGAATATGAACTGAATGTATATTCCAGGAAGTCATAGCTGGTGTTGTAGTCGTTAAAAGCAACAGCGATGTAAGACATGAAGGCTTGGTACTGGTCATGGAAGGCTCAGTCAACTTACAAATAAGTTCCAAAAATGCTGGTATTTTTGATGCATTCTCAAACAGTATTAAAGTAAGTTTAATAGCTAGAAGAATTAGGAGGGCTCTGTAGGAGGAAAAAATAATTATAAATATTCAAAACAATACAACCAATCAATTTGGAAGTAAAGGTTATTTTATACCTCTATTCACTGTGAAAAGTCTGCAAATACAAATAAAATAAGTGTTTATTAATTCTTTCTCTTTGAACACTGTTAACCATATATCATGGTTCTGTGCCATTTCCATTCTTGTAGTGAAAATCTTTCAGAGTAATATAAAAAAGTAGGCTTAAAAGTTGCGAGTTGGAATGGTTCTAAACATATACATATGTATGTGTAATTAGAATTTTAATTATTAGCACATATCATCTGGCATAACTTACACCCACATTAGGTGAATTTCTTGGGATTCATACTCAGTAGCACTCATTAAAACAATTTTTCTTTCTATATGAAATATAATATGAATATTTTTGTGTTTATAAAAAATTCAGATTTTTGTATGTTGTAGCCCATTACATTAGTTAATACATCTATGGAAATTGTCCCAGCTGGAAAAATACCCGTAGGTGTTACTGAAATCCCATTTGAGATGCCACTCAGAGGTGAACAATATTTTTTAATATGTCATAATTTATATACAGTCAAAACCGTTTATAACGACATTGAAGGGACCGTATAGTTGCCGACGTTATATCCGATAGTCGTTATAAGCAATGTCATATACACAAGTACAGTACATATGTATGTACAATGTACATAGTTATATTATCATAGTTATCTATCTAGAATAGGTAGGTATGGGTTATAATATGGTATTTTAATATTATAATATGTAAAGGTACAAAAGTAATCAGTCATTTTGGTCTGGTTTTTTTAGCCCAGTCTCAAATATTTTTTGCATTTTATCCATATGACATGAGATTTTTATTCAATAGAAAACACTTTTCTCTTTTTTTGCGACATGATAACACATAAATGCACAATTGCACAGTCTAAACAACACCAAGACTTTTAAATCAAACTGTTACGTGTAAAGTATGCAAGGTCAAATGGCCGGGAAGAGGTTCGGATGAGGCGGGAGAAAGTGTGTAGGTAATAATATGCCTAATATTCATTCAATGCTTATAAATAAGATTTAAAATCGTTTGTATTGTTTTGTTTTGCTTAGACAAGAAGCGGTTGGTCGTTATAGCCGATGAATATCAATAAAATTTCGTCGTTGTAAGCGATATGTCGCTGTATCCGATGTTGTTATAAGCAGTTTGTTTACTGAATAGTTTACTAGGGATTCGGGCGGGACCATACAATCTGGTTGTAATAACCGATAGGTCGTTGTAAACGATGTCGTTATAAACGGTTTTGACTGTATATATATTACTTAATTAGTCTTATTACATAGTTTTTAAAGAGCCAGAGTCTAGCGACTCTTGACTAATACCTCATTACTCATACCAAACTAACTCATTCATAACTATTTCTACTTGACTACTTACTGGTTAGAACTAATAAATTAAACTTTTATTTATGCCAGTATTGAGAGAAATAGATCATAGCTTCACTTTGCTACAAAAAGTTTATCTTGGCTTCCGAGACAAGAGAGAGACCATAGCCTTAGTCTACCAAAACAGTGTTAGTCTAATGGGTTGTGGTTTGAGTGTGCTTCTCAAACCACAAACCATTACTACATGCATTCAAATCTAAGCAGTGCACTACTGGATTTTACTATGCCTAAAATTATTTCTTGGTAATACGGCGAAGCGAGAGCAATGGGAATTTATAAAACAACCATCACTTAATTATTAATAAAAAAGGATCAAAGAAACAGATCTAATTTGAGAACCAAAAATATAGTGGAAGTATTATTATTATTAGGTACTAAGTACATTGGAACACAGCTGGGAATCGAACCTACAACCTCAGGGATTAGAGTCGCACGCTGAAGATACTAGGCCAATACTGCTCTCTCTATACACATCTGCAAATCTTATACATGCTTAGATATAAGTCAATCTACATTGTTTTAACCAAGGACTACATAGTATCATAAAGAGATCATCATCACTATTATACAACTGATTTAGTTTAAGGATGTTAACTATTGCAAGTAAACCTTTTTTCTAGGAAGACCAAGCTCAGCTGGGCCGGGTCTATTGGAAACATATCATGGAGTATTTGTAAATGTTATGTACACAATACAATGCAGTATGAAAAGGTCATTTTTAAATAAACCGCTAAATGCAGTATGCCAATTTTTTGTTCAATATAAGCATGTGAGTATGTTATAGATTCTTATAGCTTTTATTTTGTCACATCATTAAGGCTAGAATAAAAACAATTACACCAAAAATATAGCCAAAGATAGAGAGGAATATTTAACTGCAAAAAGGGAAAAGCATTAACAATTGTTCAATACACTTAATTAAGGACCTAATTTGTGTGTTGTGTGATGGTGTAGAAGTGAGTGTATGTATGTGAAGGTGTGTATGTGGGGTTCATGATGCAGGTGATTTAGAACTATGGATATTCTTAATACTCCTTTTAATTAAGTGAATATGAAGGTTAGCGATAGTGTTCTTTATTGCTGTACTATTAAAATCTCTATAACTCGAACCTTGTTAAGTCGAAAAATAGTGCGTGCGTACAAAGTACACATGTCAGAAGTGAAACTCCTTTGGCAAACTGATTTTTAAGTCTTGTTCATATTTATACAAATCTAAAACTTTAGATTTCCGAGTCTTAGAGGGAGAAAAAAAAAGATATGTTAGGAATTTAATTGTCATTAAAATATTAAAAGTGTCGAAAATTAATACAAATAATAAATTTAATTTATTAAATTTATTTCTTCGATACTAAAAGCACGTGGCATTTTAATTCACAATTCGTCATTTGACATTTCAATAAACTATTTTGCATAAATTATAAAATACTAATATTTCATAAATTCTCTTTAAGAAATTTTAATTTTAAAAATATAATTTCTATAAGGTAATTCGCCGTTCTCACTCTCTCTCTCAATCGTTTTCTCCCTTTTCTTCCACAAAAACGCTGCACATCTTCGTGACGCTAATATTATATTGCGTTTCATTCGTAAAAATGTTACCCTCATGCACCTAAAGAAGTTTTACTTCAAAAAAATTAATGATTAAATTATTTATTACATCAATTTTTAAGATATTAATAAAATATTTTAGCAAGACCCAGGCCCTCTTAAGCCAGTGCGATGCGAGATAACCCCCGCATCTATTCGTGCGTCTGGGGCCCCTTCGAGAGCGTCAATGCCAAATTTTCAGCTGTATGCGGAAATTGACACCACGGTGTGCGCCCTTGACAAACCGATTACAGGAAAGGTTAGTGAGATTAACTGCTCGTTCAAAAATAAAGTTACAAGTTTCATCGTTCAAGTATTACGTCACGAAATTTTTGAAGATTATTGGAACCCCCTGCCGTGTAGCGCGCCGTAACGTTTTTCTGTACCCAACAGTAAAAACGTTTCGTGACCACCCAGTGACTCTTTATAGCTACAAGATACCATTATGTGGTGTAAAGTACTGGAAAGTCGAAAACAATAATAATAACGCGTAATTCAATCCCCGCCCCGCATCGTAACGTTTTACAAAAGGACCCCCCAAAATTCGTTACGTAATACTCGAACGCTCCCTTATACGGTACTTCGTATGTATGTTTGTGCATAAATTTCTCGAAATTTATGTGAATTTTAGTAAAGCTTAGGTTTCCTAGAAGAGCGGCGCCGTTAACTAACGGTCGTCATTTTACGGTTGTTAATAACGGCCGTCTTTACTTTTTAACATAATGCAAAAAAACAAGCATTTTCGCTCGTCCAAGTCACGTTTCCACTCATTGTAATATTTATTACCGCTATGACGGCCGTTATGCAAATGATAGCACCGCTATTTGACGTTACGGTGACACTCAACGTTCTCTAGGAAACCTACTCCGATGTTATTTATAGACAACGCTACATTACGGCCGTTAGATAACATCACCGCTTTTCTAGGAAACCTAAGCTTTAGCCCTATACTTCAAAAGACATGTATAAATTTGACAACTGTCGCACTATTCGTTTGTGAGATAAAGTATTTTCGTGAAGGAACTTTTGTTTATTTAAAAAATGGTGCGTGTACTTATGTACGCGCGTAAGAAGTTATACTTCTTTGGCTTTCTTTATTTTTTTAAATAATTAATAATAAATATTTCACGTTAATAATATTTAGTATATTATTCAATTATTGATTAATAATAATATTATTTATTATTTTATTATATTATTCATTCAATTTAATAACTAGGTATGTTTCATAACTAAGTAACAATAGGTCTTTGTGAAAAAGCATTGCTAAATTTCTTTGACAAAATAATTAAAACTCCTTTATTTGTTTAAAAGGTACTAAAAATGTCATTATGGTCATTCAAAATTCTTGGCATAGCTGCTAACGTCACGCATATTCTATTTCTTTTTACGTGTAGATTGTCTTATTCCCATCTCGCTCGCGCTCGCTCAGCGCCCATACTGATAATTTTGTGTCACGGTGCGCGCGCATCGTAAAATTTCACTCTCATCAATTTTTCATAACGCGCCTGAAGAAGTATAACTTCAAAAAATATTTCCTTTCAGATTCGTGTAGATGATTGCTCGGTGCAGATAAAATCTATTGAACTTCAACTAGTGAGAGTAGAAACCTGTGGCTCAACAGAGGGATACTCAAGGGATGGTAATAATAATCTGTGAAAAAAAAATAGTTTAAAAAAATAAAAAACACGCTTTTAAAGCACATCAAAATAATTCCTAATTTAGGCTGAAAATGGTAATGAACAAAAAATACTGGTTTTATTGTGAAAAAGCGTGGGTTGCTCGACAGAGCGCCGAGCGTGTTTTTTAGTTTTTTTAAACTATTATTTATTTTTTAGTTAAATTTTTTTATTTTTTCATTTTTTTTCGGATTATTGCATTGTCATCAATCTTTGACAGGTGCGTAAAGTTTGAATTAAATCTGTCCGTTAAAAGTGGGTCAAAATCGAGTCCGAAGGAGTCGGTTACATACATACATACAAACATACATACATACAGGTGAAGCTAATATAAAGCGTGTAAAAATAAATAATACCGGTCATAAACAATATTTTTTTGCCGTGAAACTTCATCTGTATATGAAGCAATCCGTGTCTATGACGTTGAGTAAACGTCAAATTAAATGTCAAATGTCAAAGTCCTATTGTTCCCGCTTCTGTGTAAAAGATTGTTTATTTTACGTAAATAATTTCTTAAACAGCGACAGAGATACAAATCATTCAAGTGGGTGAAGGAGATGTCTGTCGCTCCCGAGATGTGCCTCTATACATGGTGTTACCGCGGCTCTTCACGTGTCCCACCACGACAACTACCAATTTTAAAATAGGTAAGACTAATAATATTAATAAAAAAATGTACAATTTTTTATCTGTAATAATAATTCTAATTGGCAAGAAAATATTGTGTTCACCTCTAAAAACTTAGGTAAAATATTAAAAGTCTAAGGGAGCGTTCAAGTTTTACGCCACGCATTTTTTAGAAGTTAATCCCCTCTCCCATGTAAGACGCCGTAACGTTTTTCTGTACCCAATAGTAAAACGTTTCGTGACCACCAAAGTGACTCTTGATACCTAAAAGTTACCATTATGTGGTGTAAAGTACTGGAAAGTCAAAAATATTATTAACAATAACGCGTAATTCATTCCCCGCCCCGCATCGTAACGTTTTACAAAATGACCCCCCTCCCAAATTTCGTTACGTAATACTTGAACGCTCTCTAATGCGACTTCCAACAAGGTTGCGTTAAACGTTTAACGCTACCATGGAGAATAGAAAGAGACAGAGCGAGAATGAATGCTTCCTATTTTCATTTCCACATTACGAAGTACTTCCGCGCGGAGAGACCCAACGCACTATTTATTTTTTATTTTTTTATTTGGATGACTTAATAAAATGCTTACGCGTACAGCTACCGGCAAACATCTTGAACAAATGTCCTTGCCTGCGCAGAAGCGATTTTTAGGTATAACTGGGCGGCGTGGTGGCGGCGGCGGGAGTGTGACGTGTCGATCGCGTGATTGGTAAATCAGTTGACGTTTGTGTCCCGCGATGCGCAAACACTCCACTCCCTTGTTAAATGCTCAAGAAGGTTGCCGGTATCTGTACGCCAAACTGCTTTATTGAATTATACAGATAAACAATAGTATACACTTGTCGACGCCATATATGCGAAAGATGTATAGTGTTGCCAACATCAAAATATATTTATTGGTCAACTCAATACTTGATAAACGTAATATTTATCAATTGTGGTTAACTAACAAAATATATTCAGTTTCTCCGGAAAAAAATTGCCTTTGCATACCAGCATGAACCTCAGAACATGATAATGTAATAGGGGTACACGATTGCGCATGCGTCGATAAACGAACATATTTAAAACTGTTACGATAACAAATACCTTTGTCCTATTTTCAAGGGTTTTGCAAGCTTTGCATTTGTTAAAAGCTTGAAAAAGATTGGTAATTTAAAAAAAAAGGGTGCGTGTACTTATGTACGCGCGTAAGAAGTTATACTTCTTTGGCATTATTAAAAATAGTTTTTGATTGCATGCAAATAATTAATTACAATTAAATAATCAAAGACTGGAAAAGGAGTCATTATAGTCAATTATGTTCAGTTTACATTTGAAAAATTAAATATGTAATTATTTATTATTATTCTCTTACATTAAGTGTAACATAAATTATATTTAGTTAAAATTATATATTATTATATATTTAGAACATCTCTACCAAACACTAAGTATGTTGTTGCTTTGGCAGTATTGCACAATATAAAATTAATAAATTTCTTTGAAAAAATAATCAAAACTCCTTTATTTGTTTAAAAGGTAAATGACAAATGTCATTATGGTCATTCAAAATTCTTGGCATACGAACTTCACGCATATTCTATTTCTTTTATTTGTTGTTTGTTTTTTTCCTATCTCGCTCGCGCTCTACTATCCTCCCAATCACTCCCAATTTTGTGTCATAGGTGCGCGCGCATCGTAAAGTCTTCACTCTCATAAATTTTTCATAACGCGCCTAAAGATGTATAACTTCAAAATTTAAGTTTCTTTGTTTTTAGATGTGATTTAAGTTTAATAATATAATGTCTAAAATAAAAAAAAGTGCGTGCGTACAAAGTACACATCTCAGAAGTGAAACTTCTTTGGCAAACTAATTTATGTCTTGTTCATATTAAAACAAATCTAAAACTTAAGATTTCCGAGACTTAGAGGGAGAGAAAAAGGATGATATGTTAAAAATTATTTGTCAAAAAAATATTAAATACTGTCGTAAATTAATAAAATAATTTTTTTGTAAAAAAAAAATTTTTTTTATAATAAAAACACGTGGCATTTTAATTTACAATTCGTCATTTGAGATTTCAATAAATTATTTTGCATAAAATATAAAATAATATTTCATAAATACTCTTTACGAAATTTTAATTTTAAGAATATAATTTCTATAAGGTAATTTACCCTTCTCACTTCCTCTCAATCGGTCTAAATCGCTCGCTCCCTTTTATCGACAAAAACGCTGCACATCTTCGTGACGTTCCGTAAAAATTTTACCCTCATGCGCCTAAAGAAGTTTCACTTCAAAAACTTTGTTTTCAGAGCAACGCAATTGTTTATATGAACTTTCAATTCCAAATAAAATAAGATATATTATCTTATATATATTTTAAAAATAGCAATACTCTTATATATATAATATAGCTCCTCTAGGTCCCCAGTTAAAAAAAAAATGTTTATTATGGAACATAAGATACAGGTATCACTTATTCCACGTCATTACATATGAATTTGTAGGCATCCCTACTCATCGGCAAAGAAGACAGAGGGTGTAGGCCAAGAGAAAAAGCCGGCGTAAAAAACTCTCGGTACTCTTTTAAAATAGCAAATCATCAAACAACACTTATTTTAAAACAAATATCGCAAATTAATTAGAAGTAGCCTGTCTAGCACTAGTCCCAGGCCCTTTTATCAACTAGAAATTCGTTAACTTTATAGTAAGCCTATTTACACAGCTTTTCTTTGATACATTCCTTAAATTTTATAAAATGCAGTTCCCGCCTATTTTTGAAGGATGGGTTAGATCTCGTTTTATATAATTAGAGGTGAAAACCACTAAGTACCGATTACATACATTAATATATTGTTTCAGAGTTCGAGCTCAATATTTCGGTGATATTTGAAGATGATTATTTAGTGACTGAAAACTTTCCAATACTATTGTTAAGATGTAGATAATAATTAAATTATATTAAAAAAAAACGTTATTTTATTTTACGTAATAAGACCGCTTAAAGAGGATCATAAATGTATTCAAAAGATTAAAATAAGTAATAAAAAATGAGCACTGTTGGCTTAGTGGATTCAGCGTGCGACTCTCATCCCTGAGGTCGTAGGTTCGATCCCCGGCTGTGCACCGATCGACTTTCTTTCTATGTGCGCATTTAACATTCGCTCGAACGGTGAAGGAAAACATCGTGCAGCTATTATTTATATAATATAAAAATTATATTATGTATGTTTGAATTGGAATTGTTTGTTTGTTATGAAAATTTAGAAAGAAATATAAGAATTTTAGAAAGGGTAAGACAAACAAAAAAGATCGGGAATAATTTCCAAAAACTTTATTATTCTAAAACTATTTACAATATCTTAAAATCTAGCACACAAAACTAATAAAAGTATTATATACAAACTAAGCATTTATAATCACTGTACAAATTCTTATATTACGTAAAATTTATTAAAATGTCATAAAATTATTGCAATCACAAAAACTTTCGAATTGTGTTTAAGCTGTGAAGACAGTACTCTCTGTACGAGCCAAGGCTGTACATTTTGCTCACTCAGGCTTTCTTTTATAAGCGTGGCGATTTCCTAAATCGTCGGAGTTACACCCCGAGTATAGACGCAGTCACTCTCTTCAACGGTTAATATAGAGAAAAACTAAAATCCTCTATTATTTAAAGCACTCCGATGACCCAGGAACCGTACACTCATTAAATTTAATTATTTTAAATGAATTAGCAGAGTTTATAAAAGATATTCATTGGGTATTTATAAAAATATAATTTATAATGCATAACGTCGCTGAAGAATAACCTAGTATGTCAAAAAACCCTTTATTTTTGAAGTTATTCTTCTTTAGGCGCGTTATGAAAAATTGATGAGAGTGAAATTTTTCGATGCGCGCGCACCGTGACACAAAATTAACAGAATGAAGTTGCCCACGGAAGATGCAACGGCATTAGACATAATTTAAAAACAACATTCGAATAATAATAGAATTTATGTTACACTTAATGTAAGAGAATAATAATAAATATTTATTTATTTAATTTTTCAAATGTAAACTCTTTTCCAGTTTTTGATTATTTAATTGTAATTAATTATTTGCATGCAATCAAAAACTATTTTTAATAATGCCAAAGAAGTATAACTTCTAACGCGCGCTTTTTTCTATTCTTAGACTCTTATGTCATTAAGTGGTAAAATCACGAAGTAAGGACTTATTTATGTTATTAATAAATAAGTCCTTTTTACCATCATTTCATCCATTATTTATGGACAAAAAGTCCATAGTTTTGGATTACATAATAATATTTTGACGAAATTAAAAAAACAATTCGTTTCCAGTACTGTTTAGTTCTCTGGACATACGAGGTAATCATTCTACAGCGACAATAAGTATATAGTAAGAAGCATAGTGGGTGTAACACAGATATCGCAAAAGAACAGAAGAGATAAGATTATTAACCAAAGTAGAGGACATTATCAAAGGCTCCATTATTAATGAAATGGCGCTGGACCGGGCACATAGGCTTATTAGTAGTACTAGGTATTATTTATTTATTTATTTACAGCCCATGCACGGTATGTAGCCGCTAAGCGACCACAAATAAACCGCTTAACTCCAGTTTGTCGCGGAAATTATCAACAGTACTAAGTTAATTTACTACGCTCAATAAAATAAAAAATAATATAAATATATATATTGTTTAAGGGAGCGTTCAAGTATTTCGTAACGCAGTTTTTGGAAATTATTGACCCCCCCTCCCCATGTAACGCGCCGTAACGTTTTTCTGTACCCAATAGTAAAACGTTTCGTGACCACCCAGTGACTCTTTATACCTAAAAGTTACCATTATGTGGTGTAAAGTACTGGAAAGTCCAAAATATATTAACAAACACGAGTAATTCAATCTCCGCCCCGCATCGTAACGTTTTACAAAAGGACCCCTCCCCCCCAAAATTCGTTACGTAATACTTGAACGCTTTCTAATTAATACATATAAACACTGAAGTATTTTATTATTATTAGTTCCACATTAGTGGTGGTGCAAAAACTGCCTAAAAAACGATCAGTTGTGGAACGACGGGCGCCGAAGTGATACGGGAGGAATTTTGAATTCTTTTTCAATATGCGATGATGAAACACAGCTGCAGGTATTCCGAACAAAAAATTATTAATGAGGGTAGATGTTTTATAGAGGTTGGGATACTGATCCGTCTGAGGGTAGATTCGCAGGGGGCGGGGTAGAAGGCGGGAAAGTGGGGGCAGGTCGTGGTACGACGTTATTGCGGCAAAGGCCGAAGAACTGTGATGGGCGTACTGCACGCTTTAGGGCATCGAATCTGGAAAATAAAAAAAATGGTTTTATTAAATAGTCCTGGGGAAATCTAATAAAACATTTTTTTTTTTTTTTTTATTGCTTTGTCTGGGGAAAATATATTCCATATAATTTTATTTATACATTACGAATTTTTAGGATTGATTTCCGATTAATCCATAAAAATAAATCAGTGGCGCTACAACCTTTTTAGGTCTGGGCCTCAGATTTCTGAATCAGTTTGATCATTTGTCAATATAATAGGCAACTGATTATAATATCGACCCTTCGGTGGAAGGACAAATTGTAACCAATTAAATTAATTTATAAAATTTTCGTGTCACAATGTTCAAAAACGGCTCGACCGATTTTTATCAAATTTTTAAACATATTCTGTAAGTCTGAGAATTGGCTACTATCTATCTTTCAAACCCCTAAGTGATAAGGGGTGTCCACCTCAAAAAATAATTGTTAATTTAAAACTTATGACTTGAACTCAGAGGTTTATATAGAGTAAAATTCCCAGAAAAACTTTAAAAGTTTTAATTCCGGAAAATCGAACATACACAGCATAACAAAATGTTCCATGTTGGTATGTACTAAACAGGTAGGCTAAGTAAAATCACATTAAGGTGAAACGAAGTTCGCGGGGGCTAGTAAATACAGAAAATTTACAAGCCAACTTCTCTTTTTCCTCACCTCCAACCAACATGCGCCATACAACAAACGCAGAGCGCTATACTCCAAGCATATCCCGGAAACCAAGAAAACTCGGTCGAAGCAGGGCCACTCAATTGTATATTTTGAGTTCGGGTCACGGTCACTAAGTCGTGCATATATCCACCTAAAACATTAGAACAGTGTCATCTGTCAAAGGAACTATAATGTACATTGTCATTTGACGTTTGACATTTCGACACGCAAATGGCGGATTGACCTAGGGGCCGTGCAAGTACGTAATACTTGCACGGCCCCTAAGCAGACTTAGAGTCTGGCTAATTAAAGAAGATAATTTAATTATTTGAAAACTTTCGGATGTCATTGAATTTCTTAGGTGAGTCTTGATACTTCATGCAATTACTCATTTTTATTTCTATTATATATTTTTTCCGAATAGTTAACAGGTATAATAGCCTAGACTTTGTTTTATTTGGTAGAATATTTCTTTTCTCTCGCAGGATTTGATTATTCCGAATAAAGTTGTGTTTTATAGTAAATATAGTTTTAGTTTTCCATGCAATGCTAGTCATTTTAAGTATAAATATTAAAAGACTAAATACGTATACTATTTAATTTCATAGAAATACAGTTACTATCAATATAAAAAATAATAAAATAAAATCAAGTATCAAGTAAGTTTAATCCACAAAATATATCAAACTTTTAGGGATACCATATTAAATTTTTTGAATTTGCCGCGCTTTTTCATCATCTTCTTTCATTAGCCAGACTCTTCTGCAATTTATCCCCCCCCCTTCCTCTTGTCATCAAAGGTAAGCAAAGCTCTAGAAAATTATTGTACATAAACGTATTAATTTTTTGTAGGAATCCTCGAAAATGCATTTCGTTTTCAAGCATAGACAATGTGTGGGTAATGTAAAAAAGTAAATAATAACTGTTGAAGTAAAGACCAAATAAGAAAATCAAAGAGTCATAAATTGTAATAAAACATTCTCGTTTCCAATAATGTCCAATTGGTTGACTAAGAAGAAGTCGAAGTAAGAAGTAGACATGGGGAGAAATTGGCTGTGCCAAAATCAATTTGGAACTGTTTCGGAAAAACACCTCTTGTATGGCAATTAAGGTTTACAATAATTTACCAAAATAATTAAAAGATCTTACGGCTAGTCTTTAAAAAGCAACTTGGTGTATTACTTTTGGAAAAATTTACGATTGCGAACGATTTACGATTGTATCACCTTAACATTTTGTACCATATTCTTGCAATAAATAAATTATTATTATAACATTAGTTTAAAGTGTCACTTAGATTTAGAAACTCTTCAATAAGTCATGTCAGTTTTTTGATAATCCAGCGTCGCAACCCCACTACCCCTAATGTTATCTTAGTTATAAGCTCATGTTTTAAACGATTAAAGCTAGTTGTTACCCAGCTTCAAACAATGTGTTTCAATGACCACAGTTTTTCGTAACGTGGGGCAATTTGATGCCAAGGGCTATTTCAATAAATTATTTGCAATGAGAATTTAAGTTTGTCATTATGTATGTTTTACCTACTGTGTAATAGGGATGCTCGATGATTATCGATGTTGATAGCAAAAACATCGATGTTGTTATACGAAAATATCGTAACAACGATGTTAACGGAATCGAACATCGATGTTAATCACGGCCAATGCAACTAACGAAACAAATTATGTCTTCAATGATACACATATCGGGTTTATTAAAATACTGAACGCTTATTAATTCACTGCGCACCGGTCGTTCCCTTCATTCGGTCTTCGTAGTCTCGCTCGCTCTTTCTCTCACACTTCCTCACTACTCTTTATCAATTAAGAAATATATTAAAAGGTTTTTCTCTATCAAAATTTACTTTTCATCAGTCAGTTGATAAAAAATATCGGAATATGTAATAATTTGTTGTTTCTTAATTAATTCGAACCATTTCACTGTATTTTAGTTCTTTGTCAATTATTAATACAAAAATCATCGATGTTATCGAACATCGATGTTGGGCTTTCGATTATGACATCGATGTTTTTTCTAATACAGATCATCCCTACTGTGTATCATTAACAATATCATAATAAAATCGAAAAATATGATGTTTCTTTAATATAACAATAGTTAAAATATTAAAATTGTATGTTAAGAGGGGGCACGAAAAAAGACACACTAAAATAATTGTATAACTCACCTAAGTTAATATAATTTGAATGCACTCCCTCAGTGGACATAGCGAACACATTCTCTCTTCGCGCGATTTCCGTCGAACAAGACACACAACACAGGACACTATTCTGTGAACAATACCTACTATTATAAACGCGAAAGTTTGTAAGTATGGATGGATGTTTGTTACTCTTTCACGTAAAAGCTACTGAATGGATTTTAACCAAACTTTACAATAATATAGCTTATACATCAGAATAACACATAGGCTACAATTTATAAAGATATTGTGTGAATTGTCCAAAATATCAAGTATGAACAAATCTACCACCTGCGAGCTATTCTGGCGTGTGCTGCCAAAACCGCTAGAGTTACACATATGTAATGTATGATTGAAATGTTTATTTTAAATAGTCCTACAAAAAAGTCCGCCACAGTATATATATCTGATGTGTAAGCCAAAATAGTGAACCATAACTACAATAAAAAATTGATTATTTATTTAAATGAAAATCGATAATTTTATCGCTTCTATTATTTAAGTAGATACAATATATATTTCATGCTACATCATTTGGACAAATTAGTAAGATTGTAATAAAGCGTGTGTAGAAAAAAAACTTTACAAATCCTTAACTTGAGACGCCAATAATGATGAAGAAAAATGAACATTATACATTACGTTCTAAAACAAATACAAGAAAATATGACATCACATATTTAAAACACATTAATTAAATTAGACAAATAAGTAATCTATCAAAGGAAAAAATAAAAATTATATAACAATAACAATAATAACCTGAACTAAATAATTAATAAGAAATATTTTTTTTATGATAAACAAATTTTTGAGCAGTGGCCTAGTGGCTTCAGCGTACGACCAATGGACTTTCTTTCTATGTGCGCATTTAATATTCGCTCGAACGGTGAAGGAAAACATCGTGAGGAAACCGACATGTCTTATAAAAGTCGACGGCGTGTGTCAGGCACTGGAGGCTGATCACCTAATTGCCTGTTAGATTTAAAAAATAATCATGAAACAGATTCACAAATCTGAGGCCAAGACCTAAAAAGTGGTTGTAGCGCTACTTGATTTTTTTTAAAGATTCCTATGTTAATCGGGATATCCTAATACATATAAATTACGTGTCACGTTGTTTATCCGCTATGGACTCCTAAACTACCGAACCGATTTCAATCAAACTTCCACACCGTGTGCAGTTTTATCCAACTTAAAAGATAAGATAGCTTACATCTTAATTTATACCCCCAATATTATTTTATTGCAAAATATTTGTTTATTATTTGATACAATTCTAACAGATGGCGCTGTGTTGAAAGTACCAACGTTTCACATGAGCTACAATTGAATGGCATAACCACCAAAAAAGCATGGTGGTCCCCATGACTGGTGTTCTCCTACCGTTTCCCTTGAATAGGTCACTACTATGTAATATAACTAAAACCTTAGCCACAGCAACGCTTGGCCGGTCTGCTAGTAAACATATAAAATGTTGTTTTGTATACCTAAGTATTAATCTATATGATTCATAATTGTGGGACCGGCTGTGTGCGGACTGTGAATTATTTTTTTATAAACAAATTTAATCTATAATATAAAAATGAATCGCAAAATATGTTGGTAAGCGCATAACTCAACAACGCCTGGACCAATTTGGCCAATTCTTTTTTTATAATATTCCTTGAAGTACGAGGATGGTTCTTACGGAGAGAAAAATTTAAAAAAATTGAGTGAAAAAGTCTAAAAACAACACTTTTCTATATTACCATACAAAATATTCGTAATAATACTTAAAAGTCAATTTGAACTTTAATACCATATCATAAAGTACAAGTGTTAGTGGAGGGGTTCCGGGAAAGTAAATTTTAATTTTTTGACATAATGTATTTGTTGTCTTATCAATTTTCTTTTTTTTATATTACTAGCTAGACCCGTGTCCCGAAGAGCAGAATAAGTATTAAAAAAAAATAAAGAATCGACTGTAAGGCGGTACGATGTTCGCCAGACCAGCTAGTTATAAATAAACTTACCAATCCAATTAGCCTGACCTCCATATGTAGCCTTAGTAACGCATCATCCACCATGAACAGCGCCAGTCTGTCCCTCGGTGTGAGAGTCAGATTCGATGCAGTCCAAAAAGACAAAGAGACCGGCTCTTCTGGTATTGACGCTGAAATATTTAATCAGACATAGACATAAACACAATATAATGAGAGATATATGAAAAAAAGGGTGCGTGTACTTATGTATGCGCGTAAGAAGTTATACTTCTTTGGCATTATTAAAAATAGTTTTTGATTGCATGCAAATAATTAATTACAATTAAATAATCAAAGACTGGAAAAGGAGTCATTATAGTCAATAGTTCAGTTTACATTTGAAAAATTAAATAAATAAATATTTATTATTATTCTCTTACATTAAGTGTAACATAAATTCTATTATTATTCGAATGTTGTTTTTAAATTATGTCCAATGCCGTAGCGTCTTCCGTGGGCAACTTCATTCTGTTAATTTTGTGTCACGGTGCGCGGGCATCGTAAAATTTCACTCTCATAAATTTTTCATAACGCGCCAAAAGAAGTATAACTTCAAAAAAATTGTTTTCCCTTTTCCAATTCGATTCGTTTCAAGTGTGTAATGCGTGTGTGCTGTGGTTGTAATTGGCCCTGGCTCAGAATTATGCTGTGGAGCAGAATGTTCCACATAAATTAAAATAAATATATTTTGATATCATGAAGTCTTGCCCACTATTATTGGCCTGGGTCTATCGGAAACGTTGGCTGGGGCATGGGCCAAGATCAGGCGTTGAAGGAAGCTTATCTAAGCCTGAGACCTAGATACCACTGGATCAAAAGAGTGAAGGAGTACGTGCTACAGCTGAAAGCCAGAAATGGACAGTTGGTACAAGATAAAGCGCTGGAGGTTTCTCGTTTCAGAAAGACACTGTGGAGGAAGGATGGACTACTGTTTCTCCAACCTAATACGAAAATCTTCGATCTGTCTAACCACTGACTGGTCGTAAGGTCTTCGTGGCTATGGTTGAGAAGATGTAGGTATATAAGTAGGAGCCATGTAAGTTGTAGATATAATAAGTTGTAGGTGTATAAGTTGTAGGTGTATGAGTTGTAGGTGTATAAGTTGTGTGTTTTGTAGGTGTATAAGTTGTAGGTGTATAAGTTGTAGGTGTATAAGTTGTAGGTGTATAAGTTGTATGTGTATAAGTTGTATGTGTATAAGTTGTAGGTATATAAGTTGTATGTGTACAAGTTGTATGTATATATTGTATATAGTTGGAAATACTTCTTAAACTACACTCTAGGTGAATATAGGGTAATATTAATTTAAATAGAGAAATAAGTACTTACTTTTAACAAAATTCCTAAAATATTCCTTAATAGTCTGTTTCATTCGATGAAAGTCGAATATGTCATAGACAAAATGTGGCCAAGGTGTCATCGCGGAGTCTATGATACGAAAGCGATTATCTGCCAACCTGGAATTTTTAGTTTCACCTTAATGAGATAGATAGATAGCCAGAGCGAAAAATAATCTCTCTCTGTTTTTACTAGCCGCGCACTGCAACTATGAGGAACCAGCTGCTCATAGCTCTGAACTAAGGACCCATATTTATTATAGATTTTTTGCCGACGAGGGGCATACTGGCAGGAGGCTGGCATGTGATATCGCCCAAGGACACTCACATTGCCAGAAGGCTTACAAGTGTGTTGCAGGCCTTTTAAGTTTTGGTCAACCCTTGAACCCTACGTCAAATTGGTTCGGAAATACTTCAGTGGGTAACTGGTTTCGCATAGGTGGTGTGATGTTTTGCTTCACCGCACAAGCAAGTGTTAAAATTAGGAAGTCTATTAATGTTGAGTCGCAAATTAAATACACCGCTCTCTTTCCATAACAGCAAGAACACATTAATAGAAAGAGACAACTATAGTTCAATCCGTGTCACTAACACGTAATTTAGAATTTTGCGCTTGTCAGTTAAAAGTATTGCCATTAAAAAAAATTGATTCTGAAATTCTCATATACATGTCATAAATGTTATTATATATTTATAGTATGTTTTGACGTTTTTTATATATTTTTAAGTATATTTAAATTATATATGAGCAATGTTGGCCTAGTGGCTTCAACGTACGACTCTAATGCCTGAGGTCGTAGGTTCGATCCCCGGCTGTGCACCAATGGACTTTCTTTCTATGTGCGCATTTAATATTTGCTCGAACGGTGAAGGAAAACATCGTGAGGAAACCGACATGTCTTAGACCCAAAAGTGGACGGAGTGTGTCAGGCACTGGAGGCTGATCACCTACTTGCCTAGATTTAAAAATGATCATGAAACAGATTCAGAAATCTGAGGCCAAGACCTAAAGAGGTTGTAGCGCCGCTGTTTTTTTATATTAAAATTACATTACAGAAATTTGTATATACCAACATAGTTCGTTCTCGTCTCCAAGGATCGAGGCTGGGAAGCCGCACTTGCTGTAAGGGATCCCCAAGTTGTACTTCAGGTAATATTATTATTTCTACCAACTTCATTCTAGAAGAAAAACATTTAAACATTTTATATAATACTAGTGAACCCACAGACGTTGTCCTGCATGATATTTAAAGCGATTAGGATATTAAGCAAAGTATGAAAGTACCGACTGCAGTGCCATCTGCCGGGCTGATTTGTGAATCTAAACCATTCCCAGATCCCCTTGAACACACACAAAAAATTTCATCAAAATCGGTCCAGTCGTTTGAGAGAAGTTCAGTGACATACACACTCACAGAAGAGTTATATATATAAAGATACGTTTTTCATAAGCGATTTGCTATTTCAGATGGTGGATTATGGATTGAGATAGGTTGGGTTCGGGTTAAAACACATCAATATTTTCATCGATCTTAGTAATAAAGTTGTAAGAGCGAGACTATTGACTGGACCATTCAAAATACAAATTAGTGTGTAGAATTTACTGCTCTGTCCGCTTTGACTCCATTTGACAGTATACATTGTGTTATTGAGTGAAATCTGTGTGGGAATTATGGAGTTCAAATAATTTGAAAATAATAATTAATTTATTAAAAAATCTATAGTTAAAAAAAATTATGTCAATCACGTGACACAAAGTGGTCTTCGCCTTCTATTGGTTTGGTCAGACAGCGGACGGGGCGGGACGGCGACGGGGCGTGGACGTCACACTGCGGACGTGATGATCCTGCAAGCGTAGGGATGCTCGATGATCATCGATGTTGCTTTACCAAAAATATTGTAACATCGATGTTAAGTCACGGCCTCACGCACGACCAATGCAACTTACGAAACAAATTATGTCTTCTATGACCGCATTCACAAATCAGATTTATTAAAATTTTAAACGCATATTAATTATTTGCGCCTAGGTCGTCCCCTTCATTCGTTCTTCGTAGTCTCGCTCGCTCTTTCTCTCTCACACTTCCTCACTACTCTTTATCAACAAATAAATTTAAAGGTTCTTCTTTATCAAGATCACTTTTCATTCAGTCAGTTGACAAAAAATATCGGGATATGTAATATGTTCTTTTTCTTAATAAATATCGAACCATTTTACTGTATCTTATTTCTTTGTCAATTATTAATGCAATAATCATCGATGTTCAGTTTTCCATAAATATCGAACATCGATGTTAGGCTTTCGATTATGACATCGATGTCAATATCGATGTTTTTCTAACATCGATCATCCCTATGCAAGCGTCGCGTCGGCCGACCCGCCACACTCGGCGTGATTTCAGTATTGCCAGATCAGAGGATTTCCTTTGATTGAGATTTAGAGGTTTCTCAACCGAGTTAGGGGCAGAATAGGGGGACAGAATACTAGGGGTTTTTTTTAGGGGAAATTTCAAAAACACGCCAAATACATTTTTGAAGTGAAAGTTCTTTATCGGGGTTGGAAAAAAATTTAGTGTAACATTTTTGCGTTACGCGTCACATTTTTTCGTTACGCGCCATGTTGCTTTTTGAAGTCAAACTTCTTTATCGGCGTTAAAATATGACATATAGTATGTTTTTGACTTTGAAGTTTGACAACGGATTACATTTTCGAAGTCAAACTTCTTTATCGGCGTTAAAATATGACATATAGTATGTTTTTGACTTTGAAGTTTGACAACGGATTACATTTTCGACTTGAAATTTGCTAATCGCAATTTGCAGCAATTAATTTGTAAATTGTATGCTAGGCAGTGTATCAAAATTTACTGTGTTTAAAGAAATAGTTTCTAATAAGGTCATAAAGAAGTTTCACTTCTTGACAAGATGTCGAGTGATTCAGACGTGGAAGCCGCGCTGCTCTTGTTTGCGTTAGCAAAAAAACTGCGTAAACGGATATGGGTACATGAAATAAATCAAAAGCGTCATGAATATGGGGAATATCACAGAGTCTGTCGGGAACTGGAATCCCATGAAGATAGAGTCTGATGAATGAAAGAAGATAATTGAATTATTTAAAAACTTTCGGATGGCAACACAGAATGTCATTCAATGAACATGAATTTCTTAGGTTAGTATTATTTATTGTCTTGATACTTCATGCAATTAAAATTTTTATTTCTATAATATATTTTTTCCGAATAGTTAACAGGTTTTATTGATTTTTTGGATTCTGATTTTGATTATTCCGAATAAAGTTGTGTCTTATAATAAATATAGTTTTAGTTTTCCATGAAAGCTGGTCATTTTAATTATCAATAGTAAAATACTAAATACTTATAGTATTTAATTTCATAGAAATACAGTTACTATCAATGTAAAAAGTAATGAAATAAAATCAAGTATCAAGTAAGTTTAATCCACAAAATAATGCCATGCTTTTTCGTTATCTTCTTTCACTAGCCAGACTCTAGGTTTTATACCAACTTCAAAATGTCGCAGACTTGTTTTGAAGAATTACATAATGTAGTACAGGAAAAAATAAGCAAACTTGACTAAACTTGGCAAAATAAGCAATTTGTTTGAGGTAGGTTCATTTATTGTCTTATTATTTTAATTACATTTATAAATTTAAAAACTCAACATCATCAAATGAATTAAACTACTTTAAACATAAAATCAGCCTTCTTATGAATTATTAATGATTATTCACAGACACTAAGTATCGGATGATTTTAAATGTGTACTTGTTTAAATCTTAATCCTAACTTGTGCCCGAACCCAAAAACCTATCTCAATCCATAATCCACCATCTAAGATAGTAATCTTATGTTGTAACAAGTGTGCCAATAACCAATCGACGGATTGTAATAACCATCTGTTTAACCGTCGCCAAAAATGGATTGTCTTTGTAGGGTTTGGTTATTGGGATGCAGATCTGAGATCGATCGACTGTCACGGTCTTATCTCAGATTGTTTTCAATCTGAGATTGTGGATTAATTATTGGGTTCGGGCGTTAGTCAACAGATAACACTGGCCGATAGGCACATCGTTTCAATAAGTACCCACTAGCTACTCTTCACACTGTTTTATCGCTCAACTGAGTGATATCGTAATCATCGATTTGCGGACTTGATGAATACAACGAACGGTTTTCATCAGAACTCACAGAGGAGTTTGTAACTGATATGACCGAAGAATGACCGTTGAGCAATTGTAATTCGGTGTTCGCAAACAATTTGGCTAATTCCAATTTTACGATAGCTTGCTCTCGCGCAGGAAATTTTTTGAAAGTGTCAGCGTAACTTAGAAATAAATGATCGATGACATCATGCTCTTTTTTCTTTTTTGCATTTAATAATTCTAACACTCTCCCAACATTCCCATCTTCATTTCTTCTGATCTCTGATGATCGTCTTTTATTGCGATATGAAACTCCTGATGTTGATGCCGTAGGTGTATCAGCTGGCGGTACTGGAGTACGTGGAGAACGCTGTGTAGACTCTAATGAGACTTTCGAAAAAGACGCTCGTGGCTCATTAAAATTGTCTAGGAACGCAAGCTGTGATGCCCACGTATAACTGAAATTTTTTCTGCTCGAACATGTCGAACTTCTAAGCTGTTTTTTATATTTGGTGTAGCCATCTCTAACAGTCTTCCATTTACTCCTCACGGCTTCACCTATGGTAGCAAGAAAGTTTAATATTAAACAAGCATGTTTATGTATAATATACTACTTTTATCGCCGATTATTTAATTTATCGCATGGATATACCTAACATATATTATGAATCTTATTTTTGAAGTAATACTTCTTTAGGCGCGTTATGAAAAATTGATGAGAGTAAAATTTTACGATGCGCGCGCACCGTGACACAAAATTAACAGAATGAAGTTAGTGGCGCATGTTGGCACGCACACCGCCGATTAAAACACGTGTTTTCATTTTGTTTTCATTCTATAAGTGCGAATTTTATATGTGCGTCTGAATTATAATCAGAAGTGATTTAAATTGAATATTTAAATCAAATTTAATTAATATTAGAAAATAATAATAAATATTTATTTATTTAATTTTTCAAATGTAAACTGAACTTTATTTTTGTCAGCCCGCCATTCCGCCATTCCGCCACTGCACAGGGAGGATGACTCTCTGGCCCACACTGCGAAGGAGAAGGCCGACCTTTTGGGTGTCTCTTCGCGTCCAACTCGACTTTGGATGACCGAGGAAGATCACCACCGACCATTTCGCGGTGTGATTCTTCGATGCCGGAAATCACATTCCGGCAACGTGCTGTCCGCAAAGCACTATCTTCCTTGGACATTCATAAGTCGAGCGGGCCGGATGGTATCCCCCAATTGTGCTGCGTACTTGTGCTCCTGAGTTGGCTCCGGTCTTAACGCGCCTTTTCCGGTACCTGTACTCGCTCGGCACTGTCCCGAAGTGCTGGAAGACCGCTTCGATACATCCGATCCCTAAAAAGGCGATCGCTCTGATCCGTCCAACTATCGCCCAATAGCTATAACCTCCTTGTTCTCCAAAATAATGGAAACCATTATTAATTGCCAGCTCTTGTGGTATCTAGAGGGCCACCAGTTATTAGCGATTCTCAGTACGGTTTCGTCGTGGTCGCTCAGCTGGTGACCTCCTTGTATACCTTACCCATAGGTGGGCAGAGGCAATTGAGTCCAAGGGGAGGCGCTGGGGTAAGTTTGGAATAGGAAAGCCTTCGATCGGGTGTGGCACAGAGCACTGCTCTCGAAGCTTCCAGCCTATGGGCTTCCTGAGAAATTATGGATTGGATCTCCAGCTTTCTGGCCGATCGGAGCATCAAGGTCTATCGACGGAGCATGTTCCGACCTTAAACCTGTGAACGCTGGGGTCCCACAAGGCTGTGTTCTATTTCCGACCCTATTTCTTCTGCATATCATGTATGTTGCAACTTAGCAACATTCATTGCTATGCGGATGACAGCACTGGGGATACTTTTACACTGGCCGGGCAGGTATTTCTCGGGCAGTTGTTGATGAGTACCGGAACAAACTTGTGTCTGAAGTCGAAACTCTACTACGTGGAGTCTCAGACTGGGGCAGACAAAACCTAGTCCAATTTAACCCCAAGAAGACACAAGTTTGCGCGTTTTCCGCTAAAAAAACACCCTTTGTCGCTACTCCTCTTTTCGAAAACACCTTCTTAAAGCCACAGCCAGCATTGGAATACTTGGCGTTGACATATCGAACGACGTTCAGTTTCGCGGTCACTTAGGGAAAGGCTAAATTAGCCTCCAAAAGCTTGGTGTGCTCAGCAAGGCGAGGCGGTACTTCACTCCGGGCCACCGCATGCAACTATATAAAGCGCAAATTGGCCCCAATGGAGTACTGCTCTCACCTCTGGGCGGGGGCTCCCAGTACCAGCTCCTTCCACTTGACCGTATACAACGCAGAGCGGTTCGAATCGTCGACGACCAATCCCTCTCCGAGCGGTTGATCCTTTGGCTTGCGTAGAGATGTGGGGTACTCTGCATCTTTACCGCATTTACCATGGAGAGTGTTCAGAGGAGTTGTTCGGATTAATACCTGCAGCTGAGTTTCATCATCGGACGTCGAGACAGAATACGAAATTCCACCCGTATCACCTCGACGTCCGCCGTTCCACAACTGAGCGTTTTTCAAGGCAGTTTTTGCCGCGCACCACCACTATGTGGAATCAGCTGCCCACTGAAGTATTTCCGAACCAATTCGACTTAGGTCCTTCAAGAAAAGAGCGTACCAATTCTTAAAGGCCGGCAACGCACTCGCGAGCCCTCTGGCATTGAGAGTGTCCATGGGGGCGGTGTCACTTAACATCAGGTGTGCCTCTTGCCCGTTTGCCCCCGTTCTATTAAAAAAAAAAAAAAATTGACTATAATGACTCCTTTTCCACTCTTTGATTATTTAATTGTAATTAATTATTTGCATGCAATCAAAAACTATTTTTAATAATGCCAAAGAAGTACCTATAACTTATTACGGGCGTACATAAGTACACGCACCCTTTTTTTTAATTTTTAATCATATTTTTTGTTTTTCAGATGACCACCGGTGACTCCTATCAAACCATTGCTTTTTCTTTTCGCGTTGGACGCAGTACGGTGGGTGATATTGTGAAGAATGTTTGCACATAAATATGGAACGTACTACAACCGAAGTATATGCCAACACCGACAGAAGAGATATGGAGGCAGATAGAAGTTGGTTACAGAGAAATATGGAACTTTACCAATAGTCTAGTCATCAAGTTCAAAAACGTGAAAAATAGAGATAAAGGTCCTAAAAATATGAGATGGCTCATTCGATTCGGAATCACCCCTAGAAAAATGTTTAAGAAGGATTTTGGTGCAGGTTAAAAATTGCAATTGTTATTAACAAAATAAGATGAAAAAAATTATTTCGTTTTCTGTTAAGAACTCAAAAAATATTAACATTTAAGCAATTTTGAGCTCGTTAAAGAGGAGGAAATTTCCAATAAAAAAAGTCGACTCCCGGAACTCTATCTCCATTATTTATAATTTTAATTAGACGTTGAAAAGCCGCGCGGCTGTTACGGCATGCGCGCGCCGTCAGAAGTTTTAATATTTACAAACAGGGACCGCGGGACAATTATTGTCAATTACACAAGGCGATGGCAATTGGGAACTTGCTAGTAGTGTTGCCCAAATGCAAGACCAAGACGAGACTTAGGCCAATACACCTGGTCTTGATCTTTGTATTGCGCTCTCAGTCTTGGTATTGGTCTTGATCTTGCAGCAAGAGTCTCGCAAGACTTGCAAATACCTATTAGCCTATTGCTATTTATTGAACACGTTAGTTTAGATTTTAGATTATGATTCGCGCTGTAAAACGTATGTAGTTGACTCTGTAACTACATACGTGTTACAGCGCGAATAATATTTTAATCAACAATCTAGCACTAGCCTGCAAATTGCAAAAAAAAAATTGAATTTCGCGGGCTATCCTATGCTACCTATGCGGCCAAAATAAGGAAGTGCGTGTGTGTTGAGATTAGCAGATTTCATTACAGTGTGCGTAGGTACATTTTTTACTCGTACCGTACTCGTGCCGTACTCGTGACTGGCGCGCTTTGCTACGTAGGTACAGTCGTTAAAGTATGTGTAACTAAGAAACGATGTAGGAACCTACTACAAAAAAACTGTAATCCTTAGAAAAATAATCGTCTTACCTACACGACGATTATTTTTATTTATTTAGTAAATCATCGCTGAAGACAATAGTCGCTACTAGAGTAGTAGTAGGGTGTGATTTTAAAACAAAATGCGTAAAGCAACATGACGTCGCTCATATTTGGAGCTTTTCCACGTTTCAAGTTTGTTAAAATCACCCTCTTCCAATTTTGCAGTGCAATGTCCTTTAAAAAGGTATAATAGGTAATAATAATAATATAAACTAGGTATATTTTTATTACTTACAACAATTTTTATAATATCTACCTATCCTTACGACTACAATCTTCCAGCTTCCGCATACACGAATTCGGTGATGTTAATTATTTCGACTATGTGTTTGCGTGTTGTTCCCACGAGAATGTAAGTGCGTGCTCCTATTTCACCATGCCTCCTGCTGATAGAGGACAAGTCTTTGTTTTTAATTTATGTTATTATTATTAATTACTTAAGATGTCATGTGGAACATGGTGTAATGGTTGCAGCTCCTTACAAACGTTGTGTAAAAAAAACATGGCGATTAAAAAGAGTGGCGGAGAGTTTATTGCCAGTTCTTCTCTTCCGTTCTACGCCCTTGATTTGAGAACTGGCAGTAAATGTAAAATTAGAAGCATTAATATGTATTTCTTTAATGACGAATCACAAGTGTACATTGTGTTACCTATATGAATAAATGATTTTGACTTTTGACATTGCACGTACTAGTCCAAGATCCCAGAGCGATACGACACAACTTATTTTCTAAAGCATAGAACTTTCGGTTCTAAGTAGTCTCTCGTGTACTTTTTAATACCTGTACGTTTGAGGAGTTGGCTCGGTGACACCTGCGCAGGTACCAGGTGAGAAAGGTAAATAAAAATCAGAGTTACTTAAGTTAAATTTTAATGACTGATTTTTATATATATTTTGTAGAATATTACTCTGAAGTAATATCAAAAAAGTCAGGCGCTTTCCATGCGGCAGAACTTTTGTCAGACGCTTTAAAGCTCTACAAAAAATAAATGAACTTAATTTATTTTTAAATGTCTGATTTTTATATATGTTATTCAAATTAATATTACAAAGTTATATTTAATCAGTCAGACAAATTGTAATGACCAAACATCCCCTAAACACAAAAATTACTCAACTATGAGTATGAGCGCGAGAGGCTGTGTTGTTGTTGTTGTTGTATGTTAAATAAGATAACATTTTTAATTAAAATAATAATCATTTTAAAAGTAATTATATATATTACAGATATATAGGGAAAAATGAATTTTTTCGGAGCAATTGTCTTTACCTTTCTCACCTGGTACCTGCGCAGGTGTCACCGAGCCAACTCCTCAAACGTACAGGTATTAAAAAGTACACGAGAGACTACTTAGAACCGAAAGTTATATGCTTTAGAAAATAAGTTGTGTCTTATCGCTCTGGGATCTTACTCTATACAGTTGGAGATGAGGCGAAGAGAGCCGGAAAGACTTGGAGCAAGGTGAAATGCTCAAGGTCAAACGCGATGGATAAATGATTTTTGAATTTGAATTTAATTTGCGAGGACAACATAATCTATTTGCGTCCGTTCTGAGCACCCGGAAACTTATTTTATTCTTTGGGACATGGGCAGTGGCGGCTACCTTTGAGATGAAAGCGACGGCGGCGACACAAAGTCTAGGAGTGGACTAAATTTTTACCTATTTTGATAGGTTTGTCAATGTTGGCATTAGCACAGATAAAATTAATCGATTTTTTTCAAAGTAAAATCGATTTTTTTACGCGATTTTTATATTTAAAATAACCGATTATTTTTATATCTGAAAATCAATCATAGTCGATTTTTCATCTGCCACCTCCCGACATTATGTCTGGTCTTTTATAACCCGGACCTCGAACTATTAGGGATATTCGATATACATCGATGTTTACAATGCGATACATTGAATCCGATTCTTTGTATTGATAAACTCGATGCATTGATGTTTTTTTGTAAAACATCGAAAGGATGATAAAACCAGAAAATTTTACAAAAAGTTTGAATGGAACACTATAATTTAAAAATAAAATAAATTTATTCAGCAGCGCAATATCACATACAATTAAAAAGACAACAAAAATACTGCAATGTGCTACTGAAAAGCACTCAGCATTTATCAAATTTCACCTAAAATCTATCAAAACGAGATTAAGTTAATTTCGATAATGATTATTCTTAAACGTTAATTTGTATTTTTAATTTAAAAAACCATGAAAAATAAAAAAATTTAGTTATTTCTAAATTAATTCAGAAATTAGAAAAAAAAACTATTATTTTTTTGAGAAGAATCGATTATTTATTAATCGATTTTTCATGCTAAAAAAATAATCGATTAATAAAAATCTAGAACTCTGCTCTAAAGTATAAATTACAATTAACAGGGGGCATCCATGAACTTTCTTAAAACAATCCAGTTGAGATGCAGCGGAGTTTAGGTACCTAAAGTCAATAGCATTTTTTCGTACCATGACCGCCTATAAGCTGAAACGTATTAACATCGCAAGACCGAATGAACGAACGATAATTTTGTTTGTGGTTTCTGAGTACGTTTAAAAATTTAACTGTCAAACTTACTTCGACAGATGTTTCTATGAAAATAAATAAAATATAAAATTATTTTAAATAATTCATCAATCACAATAAGCTATTATGTCTTAATATATATATTTATTTTATATAAAACTATTCTTTTGATATATTTTAAACGGAAAGTTCTCTGGTGCTATGACAGTTGACACTTATTATTTTTAAACGTTTCTTTCAAATTTTGATAGGAGCTTTCAATATTTTGGTGTTTACAAAATTTCGGTTTTATAAATATATTTACAAATTGTTTAACTTATAAAATAATGGTATGGGGTAAGTATTGTTCACAAATTTGTTTATTAAAAATAAATACCTAAAACGAACTCTAAAATCATAAGTAACTATAGTAAAAAATAATTCCTTCAAATTGTACAAACTCAATTTATACGTTAACTAATTCATATAATATAAATAATTATACTTTCTTTACAGGAAAGCCCCTCTTCATCTCCCAATACGGTGACCCGCGGGGGATAATGACTACAACCTTCCATCTCCACTACAAAACTTCGATGTATGCACTTACAATGCAAAATCTTTTCTATCAAATGAAAGATTATTATTATGACGAACAACCAAACTATTCCAATAAAGGTTAATAACAGTACATTACAATATGTTTAAAACTATGTTTACCTGGGTCAACAAGTATCTTTCTCAAAGACAAGACACGACGATTAGGTTAAAAGACGAGTCAACATAACCTGGAATAAATCCTGGAGCAATAAAGAAACCCTTAAATCAGAATTTTAAAACTTAAGAAAAAAAATATGGACTCATATTTAATACATTGTCTTACATATGGCTTCCAGACATGGATTTACAATAACTACACCAAAAACAAAATACAAGTGTGCCAGAGAACGATGGAAAGGAGTCTACTAAACATACAAAGACAACATCAGAAGAGAAATACAGAAATAAAGAAAACAACAAAAATAATAGACACTTTAGACAAAAATGGAATTGGGCGGGTCTTACTGCTCGCATGGACAAGGAAAAATGGACACCAAGGGTAACCTGGCGAGAACCAACAAAAAGATTAAAAGGTAGACTAAAGTAAAACTGGATTGATTAAATAAAAAGAAAAGCTGGTGAAAACTGGACCACCAAAGCAAAAGACAGACAGATGTGGAGCAAAATGGAGGAGGCCTTTACCCGTAGAGGGGTCCATAACAATTTAATGATACTTTATAATGATTTATAAAAATGAATTTTGTTTTTGATTCTTATTAATTAATTTATCATTTCAAACTTATATACATTGAAATTATTAATTATGATTGGAGTATAATTTAAAGATTATAAATAATAATATTGTATTTTTTAAGGCATGCACATATTATGTAATAATTAATCATATGATATACTTGTTTAATATGTTATTCATTATGGAAATAAAGAGGCTATAATAATAATAATAATAATTTTCTATACAGCTTAACCTGACAAAATCGCTAAATTGAGACTATATGAATAAATGTTTATAACCAATTGAACATTGCCTGAAGACATGTTTTTCTATCTTGATGGAGTCATCCTAACTAAATAAATACTGTTATTATAATATTTTTAAATGGCTTATTATTTACACATTATAAATTTAAAAATACCTATGTTTTTTTAAACAACAAAAAGCAGAGGAGAATAATAAAATTCATGAACATAGTGAGGAAAAATTTAATTATAATAAATATCTGCTAGTAATATGGCATTCTTATTTATTGTAAAATATGATATTATATTGGAGGATTATGTTTTTGTTAGACATGCATAAATAATTAATTGAATATTATTGAACAATGTGCAATTATTTGTAGGTACACTGAAATCTTCAATGAATCAAAGTCAATAATCTATAGTAAATTATAAACTCAATATCTACGAAGTCGGTAGTCGGAAGGGCATTGCCGTCTTGTTTCTCATCTCCGTCTATATTTTAATAATTTATTTATAATCACACTCTAAACTCAAAATACCCCAAAATATCGTAAATATAAAAATTATATTTTTTTTCCTATATTAGCCATAGTAGATAAATCTTATTATTTTAACTTTATTAACAAGTTTTAATACAAATATTGAATTTTACAGGTTCTAAACTATTATTTGGACATTTCGATACAAAAAAGTTGAACAAAAAGTAACTTTTTTAGAATCGCTTATTCTGTCATAGTTGGAAGGCGCGACTGTCAAATTTCGGTTCAGCCGAGCGGTCATGGTACGGATTTTCATACAAATTGAACGAACGAAATCTGAAAACCGCTAAGGTCACGTCACACGTGGGAACATAAACTGTCTCGTTTTTTCGATGTCATGGTACGAATTAGCGATGCATCTCAGTTGTAGGTTGTCAAATTGGCTCGCAATAAGAGTTCATGGTAGGCCCCCAGGGATCGGATGTCATGTTTTCTAGAGGACACTTCGATACCGCGTTTTATAGATCAAGTGGTGCCATCTATGGATCAGTATTGCTACTACAATTTTAATAATGTTACTTACCACTTTCATTGAGCTCCCTTCCTATTGATTCCCAAGTAGCTGATTTTAAGCTCGCATTTTTGTATTGAGGATTGCCCAAATCATACAAAAAAATGTGGCCTCGAACACTTTCTATGAGTTTTTCAACTTTTTCCGTGTCCATTTTTGTAGATTAATACAAAGCTGCCGTCACGACACGACTCTATCTGTTTGACTACTACAACGTGTAGCGTCGCGCTCACCCCCCGTTCGCGCCCCGTCGCGTCGTACCCCGCCCTATTACCGTCGGGCGGGGAGGGGCGGGGCGGTGACGCGACGCGACCGTTGGCGTCGGCGCGACTGCTTTGTGTGACATGTCCTATATATTAGGTCCTTACATATGAAATTGGCGTTTTTCGTACTGGCCACTTTAATCACGATGTTCTCCTCTTTGATAAGGAATTCCAAATTCAAATTTGTACAGCTACTTACTCATGTATTTGTGCTTCGATGACCGTCATTCAATTGTTTTTTTTCTTCTGTATTTTTTCTGTTTGCGTCACTCATTTTACAAAATGGAAAACTTAAAGTATCGCATTATTTACGAGTACGAGTTCCGCCGTGGCACTAGTGCTGCGGAAACGACTCGAAGGGTGAATGATGTGTATGGCGGTCATGTTGCAAAAGAAAACACAGTTCGTTTTTGGTTCCAACGTTTTCGTTCTGGAAATTTCGACCTGCAGAACAAGCCCCGTGGATGGCCTGAGACCCAAGTTGATAATGAAGTATTGTGGAAGCGGATCCATCGCAAACCACGTCCGAGTTAGCTGCAGGCTGCAGTGTTAGTGATAAAACTGTTTTAATTCACTTGAAGCAAATTGGGAAGATTAAAAAGCTTGAAAGATGGGTACCTCACGAATTGACTGAAGCAAACCGGCAAACGCGCGTCGACTGCTGCGTTACATTACTGAACCGGCACAATAATGAAGGTATTTTAAACCGAATCATTACCTGTGATGAAAAATGGATTTTTTACGATAATCGAAAGCGCTCAGCGCAATGGTTAGATCCTGGCCAGCCAGCCAAATTAGAACAAAGAACTGCCTATGAGATGGCAAAAGTGCATAGAAAACAATGGTTCATACTTTGATTAATTAAATATATTATATTTAAAAATATTCGACTCTTTGTTCCTCCCATACAAAACGCCAATTTCATATGTAAGGACCTAATATTTATTAGTACATTACAACGGCTCACGTCCCGTCGCCGCGCCGTCCCGCCCCGTCCGCTGTCTGACCTAGGGATGCTCGATGATCATCGAGCACCGCATCCACAAATCAGGTTTATTAAAATTTTAAACGCATATTCATTCTTTGCGCTTAGGTCGTTCCCTTCATTCGTTCTTCGTAGTCTCGCTCGCTCTTTCTCTCTCACACTTCCTCACTACTCTTTATCAACAAATAAATATATTAAAAAGTTCTTTTTTATCACAATTACTTTTCATCAGTCAGTTGATAAAAAATATCGGAATATGTAATAATTTTTTTTTTTCTTAATAAATATCGAACCATTTTACTGTATTTTATTTCTTTGTCAATTATTAATGCACTAATCATCGATGTTGGGCTTTCGTTTGTGACATCGATGTCAACATCGATGTTTTTCTAACATCGATCATCCCTAGTCTGACCAAACCTTAATACTAATACTACCTTGGACTGGTGGGACGCCATCTTGTCTAGGGAAGCGTTTTAGCGGAAATTATAAATATTTAATTTGAGTTTTTAATTTAAAAGAATTAATAATTACAATCTGAAAGGTTTTATAAAATATTTTCAAATAGTTCATTTTAACATGAACTAGACAGTTTAAATAATGTCTGGAGTCCCATTGAGTAACGCTCCACTGTCAAATGTAGGCATAGACATAGACTAACATTTATTACTAACAACAACACACATAATAACAATAATCAAAGAAAAAGAAATCCCTTTTTCCTTTCGGTTCGTTTCAAGTGTGTAATGCGTGTGTGCTGTGGTTGTAATTGGCCCTGGCTCAGCATTATGCTGTGGAGCTGACAGTTCCACAGCGCTGGTCATTCTGCTAGAGACCACAGCAGCTAGTTTGAGCCTCAGTCGCAAAAAAATATAGAAAAGGAATGTAATAATACTTAGTAGAAAAAAATAATAATAATGTAATGTCAATTTGATACGTAAATGTCAGTCAGTATGAACGCGTCATTTGGTGTTATGCTGCACTTATGGCTTAAACGTATACTTCAATGTTTCAGGACAATTGAACTGGATTCAATCCCGTAACCGTAAACAAAACAAACAGCTTACCTGTTATACAAGTGTATAGGTTTTGACATCTTTGGCATTTCTCTGAACCTAAATCGATGACTTGCTCGAGACCGAAATGACAATGTCAGTGGTGCGTCATTGGAATCGCTTGCTTCAATCACTTCACATAACACACCATACCCAGAAATGTATGTACATGTTTCACTGAAAAAAAAATGAATGATTTACTTATACCCACCCTATCTATTCTAATATTATACATAGGACACTTTTGTATGTTTGTAAGAAATGCAACCCAACAAGATGAAAAAATCTTTCACAATTAGATCACAATATCCTTGAATATGAAGCCATGCATTACTCCATTTTGAAGAGGTTTTTTAAATACATATTTTCCAAACATTTAGAATAAAATGGGCAGGAGCCTCATCTGATGTGATGTGATACCCCAACCATGGACACTCACACTGTCAGAAGACTGACAAGTGTGTTGCCGGACTTGACTGATTTAAGCAAACATAGACCTGTATAAATCTTTTGCTGCCCTATGTTTTATTATCACTGTCTTACTGTCATGCTTCTATCAAATACCTCACTTTGCCGACTGATTAATTTGAAATTTAAAACACATGGATTTTTTTTAATATAGCCGTAATATTTAGTTAATAGTATCCAAATATGATAAAAAGTGGATTTTGGATTTTTTCAAATCCGAAATTGTTCTACGATCATGACCTTATGTAATACACAAGTAAACTAAGACACACCAGTCGGAAGGTAGCCAGTAGTAAGGTGAATTTTTGAGTATGTAAGATTAAAATACTTGTCAATCTTAAATTGAATACCAATTATACTATATTTTCTTACTCAGGACAAAGCAATCCAAAGATTTTATCATTATCCAATGCTTGCGATATCACAGCAATATCTTGTGCATCTGTGAGGAGCATCGGTACTGTTTCTCCAGGAAAAACTGCTCCATGGTGTGCCATAACCGGAATTTTTCCTGTCCATCCAGGCTCCAGGTCAGGTCTTCCAGTGATTGCAACAAGATCTTGGCTCAGATACTAAAATATATAAATAAAAAAACTTATGAGTAAATTGAGCATTAAATACCTAAAATGTATATTGCAATGTTTAGACATATGTAGCCTTTAATAATTAAATAAAAATTTGGACAATGCACATCTCAGAAAGAAGTATTTATTTTGAAATAAATGGTACAACGGTAATAATGCCCTTTAATCGCCAAACCATCAATCAGAAGCATGTGAACAGGCTCCAATTAGGATAGTTATACAAAATAACATTATGTTGAATAATTACATGTCTAATTTGTTTTAAGGAACACTTACTTTCATACTTATGAAACTTTTATTATTATTATGAAGGACAACGGAAGAAGTAAGAGTATGTCGCCATCATTAAGGTTTTATACTTACTGAATGTGATGCCGCAAGGGTAATATCGAATTCTTCAGCCTCTAGTTCCAGATTTTGTATTTCTTCAGATGAATCACTTCCCGAAGTCCGATCCTCTTCATTCTCACTTACAGTCCCTTATAAACATTTCCGCACATATTATTTTATAAACAATGTCGCAACACAATATCATAAAAAATGCTTTTATTCTCACCGTCATCCATATCTAAGGGGTAAAACAATGGAGGATATGAATTTATCAATAATATTAATTTAATTTATGTAAATAACTGAAGTTGAATAAATCACAGTCCAACGTGAAACAATTAAAGAAACGATAATAATAAGCACCTAAATAGTAAACACGATCTGACGATTGACAACGATCTTATTCTTCAACCTAACATTAAACATCTGACACTCTGACAGTTGAACCCCTGACTTGAAGTAAGTTTATTAAACGTATCGTTACACTAACGCTAAATTAATTTAACTAAAGAATACTAAGGACTGGAATAATCTAAAAAAGTATACAACTAAAGCATAGATTGATTTTTAAATATTGTTAGTTGCCGACCTGTACCGATAGTATTTACTTTGGCAGCATCTTTTCGAGTTGGCGCCGCGGCACTTACATATAAAGGGAGATTCACGGTACACCGTGCGCCGGCCTGTGGGGGGGGGGGGGGGGGGGGGGGGGGGGGGGGGGGGGGCCGGGGGGGGGGGGGGGGGGGGGGGGGGGGGGGGGGGCCGCGGGCCCGGCCCCGGCGGGCGCCCCCGGCCCCCGCCCGCCCCCCCCCCCGGCGGCGGGGCCCCGCCCCCCCCCCCCCCCCGCCGCCGCCCCCCCGCCGCCCCCCGGCGGCGCCCGGCCCCCCCCCCCCCCCCCCCCCCCGCCCCCCCCCCCCCCCCCCCCCCCCCCCCCGGCCCCCCCCCCCCCCCCCCCCCCCCCCCCCCCCCCCCCCCCCCCCCCCCCCGGGGCCCCCCCGCCCCGGCCCCCCCCCGCCCCCGGCCCCCCCCCCCCCCCCGCGGGGCCCCGGGCCCCCCCCGCCCCCCCCCGGGGGCCCCCCCCCCCGGCCGGGGCCCCCCGCCCCCCCCCCCGCGCCCCCCCGCGGGGGGGGGGGCGGGCCGGCGCCGGGGGGGGCGCCCCCCCCCGGCGCCCCCGCCGCCCGGCGGGGGCGGGCCGGCCCCCCCGGCGCCCCCCCCCGCCCCCCCCCCCCGCGCCCGCGGCCCCCGGCCGGGGGGGCGGCCGGGGGGGCCCCCCCCCCGCCCCCCCCCGGCGGGGGCGCCGCCCCCCCCGCGCCCCCCCCGGGGGCCCCCCCCCGCCCCCCCCGGGGCCCGGGGGGGGGGGGCGGGCGGGGGGGGGGCCCGGCCCGGCGCCCCCGACGCGCGGGCCCCGGCCCCCCGGGGGCCGGGGGGGGGGGGCCCGGCGGGCCCCCCCCGGCCGCGGGGGGCGGGCCCCCCCCGCCCCCCCCCCCCCCCCCCCCCCCCCGCGCCCCCCCCCGGGGCCCGCCCCCGGGCGGGGGGCCGGCCCCCCCCCCCCGGGGGCCCCCGCCCCCGGGGGGGGCCCGGGGCCCCCCGCCCCCCGGCCCCCCGGGCCCCCCGGCCCCGCCCCCCGGCCCGCCCCCGCGGGCGGGGCCCCGGCGGCCGGGCCGCCCCCCCCCCCCGCCCCCCGCCCCGCCCCGCCGCCCGGCCGGGGGGCCCCCCCCCCCCCCCCGCCCCCCCCCCCCCCCCCCCCCCCCCGGCCCGGGGGGCCCCCCCGGCCCCCCCCCCCCCCCCCCCCGCCCCGCCCGGCCGCCCCCCCCCCCCGCCCCCCCCCCCCCCCCGCCCCCGCGCCGCCCCCCCCCGGGCCAACGGGGGGGGGGCGCCCCGCGCCGGGGGGGGGGGGGGCGGGGGGGGGGGGGAGACCAGGGGGGGGGGGGGGGCGGGGGCCGCGGGCGGGGGGGCGGCCCCCCCCCCCCCCCCCCCCCCCCCCCCCCCCCCCCCCCCCCCCCCCCCCCCCCCCCCCCGCCCCCCCCCCCCCCCCCGCGGGCCGGGGGGCCCGGGGGGGACCCACCGGCCCCGCGGACCCCGGGGGGCCCCCCCCCGCCGGGCCAAGGCCCCCCCCCCCGCCCCGCCGCGCCCGGCCCCCCCCCCCCCCCCCCGCGCCCCGCGCGGCCCCCCCGCGCCCGCCGGCCCCCGCCCGCCGGGGCCCCCGCCCCGCCCCCCCCCGCGGGGCCCCCGGCCCGGGCCCACGCCCCCGGCCCCCCCCCCCCCCCCCCCCCCCCCCCCCCCGCCCCCCCCCCCCCCCCCCCCGCCCCCCCCCCCCCCCCCCCCCCCGGCGGCCGGCCCCGCCCCCCCCCCCCCCGGGCGGCCCCGCGCCGCGCCCGGCCCCCCCGCGCGGGCCCCCCCGCGGCCCCGCCCGGGCCGCCGGGGGCCCCCGGCCGGGGCGGCCCCCCGGGGCGGCCCGCGCCCCCACACCCCCCCCCGGCCCCCCCCCCCCCCCCCCCCCCCCCCCCCCCCCCCCCCCCCCCCCCGGCCGGCCCCCCCCCCCCCCCCCCCCCCCCCCCGCCCCCCGCCGGCCCGGGCCCCCCCCCCCCCCCCCCCCCCCCCGCCCCCCCCCCCCCCCCGCAGCCCCCGGCCCCCCCCCCCGGCCCCCCCCCCCCCCCCCCGCCCCCGGGCGCCCCCCCCCCCCCCCCCCCCCCCCCCCCCCCCCCCCCCCCCCCCCCCCCCCCCCCCCCCCCCCCCCCCCCCCCCCCCCCCCCCCCCGCCCCCCCCCCCCCCCCCCCCCCCCCCCCCCCCCCCCCCCGCCCCCCCCCCCCCCCCGGCCCCCGCCGGGGGGGGGGGCGCGCCCCCCCCCCCCCCCCCCCCCCCCCCCCCCCCCCCCCCCCCCCCCCCCCCCCCCCCCCCCCCCCCCCCCCCCCCCCCCCCCCCCCCCCCCGCCGGCCCCCCCCCCCCCCCCCCCCCCCCCCCCCCCCCCCCCCCCCCCCCCCCCCCCCCCCCCCCCCCCCCCCCCCCCCCCCCCCCCCCCCCCCCCCCCCCCCCCCCCCCCCCCCCCCCCCCCCCCCCCCCCCCCCCCCCCCCCCCCCCCCCCCCCCCCCCACAGTGATTCATGTTACACCGGGCTGTTTGGGTGTACAACCCGTGCGCGATAAGTTGGGACCTGAGCGCGGTGACGTCACAGTGGCGTGTTTGTACCGTCCGCAAAAAAGCGAACACATCGAGCAGCCGCCGCGGCTTCGTCCTTGTTTTTTTTTAACCTAATTTACTATGTTACTCAGGCATGATGCTGCTTTTTATCTTATCTTTATTTTTTTTACACTATTTGAATACAATAGAATACTATTTAATTACTAGTGGACCCCACAGACGTTGTCCTGCATGATATTTAAAGCGATTAGGATATTAAGCAAAGTATGAAAGTACCGACTGCAGTGCCATCTGCCGGGCTGATTTGTGAATCTAAACCATTCCCAGATCCCCTTGAACACACACAAAAAAATTCATCAAAATCGGTCCAGTCGTTTGAGAGGAGTTCAGTCACATACACACGCACAGAAGAAATATATATATTAAGATTTATTTTTTTTATACTATTTGAATACAATAGAATACTATTTAATTATGTATCACAGAAAGTGAAGGAAGGTAACGTTTTGTAATGAATAAAAATACAATGTTTAAGTTTATACATTTATTTTACAGTAGAACCTCGTTAAGTCGAACCTCGATAAGTCAAAAACCTCCAAATCTCGAAAAAATGTTTTGTTCCCTTCCCTTAAAACACCAAAACCTCCATTACTTGAAATCTTGACCCTCTGTTAATCGAAATAATCACCGAGTCCCTCCAAGCCATTTTAGTATATATTTTCACTCTATAACTCGAAAAATTAAATTTGACCTCTGTATCTCGAACATAGGAACGTTTTATTTTACAACCTTTACAACTTAATCATTTGGAATTTATTATCTCTATTGTTCGAAAAAAAATAAGTTACCGACTTTAAGAACTTGCCGACAATGTGATTACACTATTGTTTCTTAGAAAACATTTTAGGAGTATACAATAATAAATTTATGACTCATGGAAACACGTGTTTGCTTGCTTTGTGTCAGGTGTTCAATTTTGATTCCCTTTGAAATTTAGCTAAGCCAGTCATTTGTTTTCAACTTAAATACTGTCAGAAGTAGTTTGGTTCTCTCTAACTCAAAATTTATAAGAATAAACCTCAAACTCTTTATGTCGAATCAAAATCCACCTAAGTCGAAATCCTCCATAAGTTGAAAACTCTATAACTCGAATTTTTTGGCGTCTCCCTTGATGTTCGACTTATAGAGGTTCTACTAATTTAAAAAAAAAAATGAACACCTGAGACAAAGCAAGCAAACACGTGTTTCCATGAGTCATAAATTTATTATTGTATACTCCTAAAATGTTTTCTAAGAAACAATAGTGTACTCACATTGTAGGCAAGTTCTTAAAGTCGGTAACTTATTTTTGTTCGAACAATAGAGATAATAAATTCGAAATGATCAAGTTGTAAAGGTTATAAAATAAAACGTTCCTATGTTCAAGATACAGAGGTCAAATAATTTAACGAGGTTCTACTGTACAATATCTAATCTTCGTCACTACTAAGTGGATTTATGCCTTCTAGAGGTTGCTCTTCGTCCTCAGTCTCACTATAATCTTCAATTGATGAAGAGGTATCAGATAAATGTACAATGATTTGCGATTCATTTGTCTCTTGTAAGAGGTCATCATCCCAATACTTTTGTCGAAGTCTGTCCACATGGTTGACTTCTTTTTTCCAGTCACTCTCACTTATGCTGGTAATTGCATCTCTTGTTAACTTTTCTATTTCCCTTTCTGACTGGTTGATATTTTTATCGGCTATCCTTTGCTTGACCAAATTCCAAATATATTCAATTGGATTGAGGTCACACATGTATGGTGGTAGACGAACTACTTCGTGGCCATGCTCTTTAAAAAGTTCATCAATCAAATATTTTTTTGGGGGCTTATTTATATGTAATAAATGATACATTTCAGATTTTCTCATTCTTTCATCAAATGTTATATTGTGGTCTAATAACCATTGACGTATAGTCTCCTTCGTCGCCACACTTGTGGGTGGTTTTTCTATTTGAGTTAAGTGGTACGGTGCATTATCTAGTACCACGATACTGTTAAGTGGCAAATTCGGAATTAACTTTTCAAGAACCCACTTTTTAAAGTTTGCGGTATTCATCTCATGATGGTAATCTCCCGAGTTGCTTTTGCATTTGTATATGAGGTCAGCCCCATTCACGAATCCGTTCTCTCCACCGCCGTGAACAATAATCCATCTTTGGCCGGAATTATGTTTTTTTTTTACAGACGCATCAGTGTTGTTTTGCCAGCATTTGCTCACTGTATAGTGGGAATGTATCCACGTCTCATCTTAATAAATGACTGTTTTTTTCCTCGCACCCAAGTCATCATTTTCCTTTAGACGTCGTAGGCACCTTGCCCGCCAAGCTCGAATATCTGGTTCTGGTCTTTTATCTTTACATTTTTTGAATTTGTAGCCTAATTTGTCTACTAACACTTTTCTTAAATATGTTTTTTGCCCTTGAAAATTGAGGTCTAGGCAAGGCAAGGCACATAAATCAAAACTGTCCAATTGGATATGGTTACACTTTGGCTTCCGATTTTGGCCCGGTGTTGACAATTTCACTTCACTTACTGGCGTAGAACGTAGAAGTACCTGGTGTCGGTGAAGTATTTTGTAAGCGCTTGGCTTCGTTTTTTATTCTCATCAACGTGGTTTTCGATATTCCCGTTGCCATGCATGTTCTTTTTACTACCTGGTCAATAGGTACACAAAACTGTTTGTTCCGTTTTTCGTTATCAAAAAACTCTAACACTTTTAGCACGAGGTTTCTTTCTCCGCTATGTAAAGGTTTACCCTTCATAATGATAAGCGAAGCGGGCGGGAAGCCGCATTCCTAGGAGGTCCCAACTTATCGCGCACGTGTAATACGCACGTACGTGTTTGCACGACTATATCTGTTTTTGTCAGCTAGTGATTTCATCTGTCGATAGACTTGACGCTTAAGTAATTATGCAATTTTCACAATTTGAATTGACATCTATTCAATTTCAAATTCAAAAATCATTTAATCATATAGGTAACACATTGTACACGTGACTTGTCAGTAAAGAAATACATATCAATGCTTCTAATTTTACATTTAGTGCCAGTTCTCAAATCAAGGGCGTAGAACGGAAGAGAAGAACTGGCAAAAAACTCTCCGCCACTCTTTTTAATCGCCATGTTTTTGTTTTTACACAACGTTTGTAAGGAGCAGCAACCATTAAACCATGTTCCTCATGACATCTTAAGTAATTAATAATAATAACATAAATCAAAAACAAAGAGTTGTCTTCTATCAGCAGGAGGCATGGTGAAATAGGAGCACGCACTTACATTCTCGTGGGAACAACACGCAAACACATAGTCGAAATAATTAACATCACCGCATACCTACACGAATTCAAGTACGACCAGTCACCACAAGTAGCACCCGTTCACGAGTATGACGCATGGACAGCCATCGGCCCCCTCGCCATATTTTAGGGAGAGAGACAACCCGACGCATGGACGCCGCCACAAGCAATGACATTTAAGCGAGCATGACGATCCTTGAAATGTGGACTTGGCTACATTATTATTGCAATTGCCATCGATGACGAAGTATTAGAAAAACGAAGCGAAAGTACTAAAAGAAGATGGGGTGTACATCCAACCTGGAGAAAGCGAGAAGCAGAAGGGGAATTTTCTTTACTTTACAAAGAATTAATAGGACGACGAGAGCAAGTTTTATGGTTCTAAAATACCTACTAAAACCGATAATCCCACTCACATTGCACTTAAATATTGTCGTTAAGTAATTAGTGACACTTCAATAACTATTACAAATATACTGCTCAAAACAATTAGCGGAACAAGATTTTTCTCCTTTCTATTGCTTAAACTAAAATTAGATTTAAATTAACTTGTACGCTATTTTTTACCTTCTTAATTTGTTAATTACTACAATTAATAAAAAAATTCAATTTGTATTTTTTTTATTAAAAAAAAATTAAAATGTGCATTGTAGACGAAAAACTAATTGGTGATAAAAAAGGTCCATCAAAGAAATATTCTTATATCGTTTGAATATTCGTCTTTAGTGACTTTCAGTAACGTGTGTGGCCTCCATGAGCCCTAATCACGGCTTGACAACGACGCGGCATGCTTCGTATGATCCTCCGAATATCTTCTTGTGGAATTCGCCCCCATTCTTCAATCAACGCTCTCAGTGAGCTGCTGCAGTGTTTGGGTGCAATCGGACGCTTCCGGATGCGCCTGTCAAGCAAGTCCCAAATGTGTTCAATTGGATTTAGGTCAGGGCTCATGGAAGGCCACTCCATTACACGGATTTCCTGCTGTCGTAAGTAATCTGACGTGATGGCTGCAGTATGCGGCCTGGCATTATCTTGCATTAAAAGAAAAATCTGGGCCCATACCATATGCTGCGGGCCAAACATGATCTTCGAGCACATTTTCAATGTAAGTTTGAGCACACAAGCGCCCGGGAACAACGACGAGATCTGTGCGCTCGTCCAAACTAACTCCGCCCCAAACCATCACAGAGCCACATCCAAATTTGTCATATTCCTGGACTGCTGCTGCACTGTATCGCTCGCCTGGGCGTCTGTAAACACAGAGACGACCATCGCAACGTGTTAGACGGAATCGTGATTCGTCAGTAAAAAGCACTGGCCTCCAATGTCGAAGTTGCCAATTAGCGCGATTTTGCGCGAACTGTCGGCGAGCTTGTCTATGTTGAATTGTTAGACGCACAGCCCGAACTGGTCGGCGTGATCTCAAATAGGGCTTCTAACAACCTATTTCTTACCGTCTGGTCGGAAATTTCTACACCAGTAGCCGTCCTTAGTGTATTTTGTAGATCTCTTGCAGTTGTGGTGCGGTTACGTAAAGCACAGTTGACGATGTAGCGATCTTGCAAACATGTAGTTTTTCTCTTTCGACCTTGACCACGCCTTCGTGAGTATTCTCCCGTCTCACGGTATCGCTTCCAAAGTCTGTAGATAACAGAAGGGGCTACTCCTAGATCATTTCCTACATAACGCATAGTTCGACCCTCTTCAACCAAAGCGATAGCTCGGGAGACATGCAATTCAGTCAGATCTGGCATTATGACCTAAACTCACTCGCTTCAATGAATAACAATACTCTAAAGGCTCACTTCAATTTCTATTAATACTCAAAAGATTAAAAAAAACTACTTAAAATGTGTTTTCTGTGATTAGAAAGTAATGAAAATTCAAAGACGTCACTTTGTTTTTAGGTGTTTCTAAACACACTGCCACTTTATTATAGGACTACTAACCAAAACGCCGATGCTCTTTTGTTTTTTATTTTCTTCGACAATGCCTTAACATTATCTAGTGGCCAGTAATAATTAAAACCTTAAGTAAAAAGTTTAGTTCTACTTTAAAGTTTTGTTCCCGTAATTGTTTTGAGCAGTATATAAGTTGAAATTAAAGTCTTTAAGTACCTTCATATAGTTGGCCTTCTTCATTTCAAGCTTTAATAGACTAATAGTATTTTGCAGATAAACCATAAATTCAGTGAAACAATAAAGCTTTAACATTTTCTTATTTCGATAGAAAATAAACTTATTTAACCAAAAACTTCGTATCCGTTGCATAACATTTCGTTTTCTGCCATGCACTACTTTGCGATTTTTTTTCAGCTAAGTAACATCTTAAACATGTTTATCTCTTTCGTCAAATGAAAGTGTAGAAAGACTTTACAATTGCAAAATCTTCCCAGACAAAGCATCTCCATATTTCCTCTTTTAATGTGTAGACCGCATTAGAGCATATTAATGAGTTGTGTATTCAGTTAAATACGAGAAAAAAAATACATCTTTGCAACTTTAACAGCAAAATGCAAATTACAAATTAACAGACTACTACTCTGTATACAGATATTTCGTTTAGGTTTGCTTCGTAGATAATAATATATTCAGTCAATTGTCAACATGAAGTGAGCAATCAAATTATTGACATAAGTAGATCAGATTTGTCATGTGTTATTTGATTTTGACTTTCGTCTCAATTTTTCTTGAACGCACATCTTGTGATTGTAATGAGATAAAATTACGATAGTGCTTTTTATAAACAAATGTTATGTTGAAATGAGATTAGAAGGTGTTTAAATAGACTGAATCAGCAAAATGTATCGGAAAATTTTGTGGTGTTACGTATTTTTATTGACATCATTTGATATATCTCCTTACTCGAAGTTGACAGCCCAGGGGAAGAGTCATGGTAAAATCGATTTCTCATCTTCCAAATACATGAGTACATATTATGTGAGAAACATGTACTACATGTTTATTTAAGTAGTTATCGAAATAAAAACCTTGCAAGAAAAATCTTGCGAATATTGAAAGCATTCTTTAGGAACGAAATTGAATATATTTTGTGTCTTCACGCGATGTTATTTTTGACTAACGCTGTTGTTTTTTCTGCTTATATTTGGTTATTTTTGGATTGGTGATGGGATAAATACGTAGTTTTGGCGGTAAAGATGCAACAAGGCGGATGCAATGTGCAGCGCGCAAGCTGCGCATACCGTCCGAGTTGCGTACAAGAGCGACATTCAATTATTGAATAACTTTTTGTAATATTATGCCGAAGCGTAGCTGTTATCACTTCCGCCCCTTATCATTTGAGTATTGTTTATTGTAAGACAATGTTAGTAATGTTGGTTTAAAATGTTTCTACCATGTGGGATTTCCGAAATTTCGTTTAACTTGAGTATATTGTAAAATATTGGACAATAATTGCTTACAGGTGCTTCAGTGCAGGATTCTATCACAGAAGCGATTGCATTTCAAGTAAGTCCTAAATCATAAAATTTGTTATAGTTTAAATTATTTAAGAACTGTGCATTTTAGGTATTAAAAATAATTTATGTCTTATGAAATCAATATCAAAAGTATACATATAAAATTAATATACAATATAAATTTTATCTGTAATATACTAATAAAATGTATATACTATAATATACAATATATTGAATTTTTTATTATATAAAAAATGCACAGTAATTAATAATGCTGCTATTATAATTTATTAAACATAAAGTTATATAGATATTAAATCCTAACAGATATCTACAGATAATGTTAAGAAAACATAGTTATAAAGGTGTGATAAAATTATACCTCTTTGTTGTGATTAAAACAATGACAAGATTGCAATTATTAAAAAAAAAACAATACATATTATTTTCTATTCAATCTAATCTATGATAATAATGCAGCACTTATTCAAATGATTTGTGTTGGAAGTCAACCCATGACTTTTGTTCTGACTAATTGTGGACTGCCTAATTCTTTAACATCACTAAGCCATTTAAAAACATCAGCCTTACCGTTTTTATTTGTTTGTATTTGGTAGTTTTTGGTTTACAAGAGATCTTGCTTATAAACCGGTCAACCGGTATCAGTCATCTATAATATATACTATAATATTACTATATTAGTTAGTAGGTGTTATTAAAGTTAGGGATACAATGTGGACAGGTAATGTTTGTACTAAAGAAATTTAAAGGATAGATAGAGAAAGAGCTATAGGAATAGGGACTGGAAGTGAATTCCATAGCTTAACTGCAGAGACCTTAAAGGACTCGCCAAGAAAGGAGGAGTTATGACACTCTTCTATAGGTAGGAAACTTATAGAGCTTAAATACACACAGATAGCGTATGTCTAACTTTTATCTGGCAAAACAATCTGTGGCAGGTCTGCATAGTGTAATATATTCTCATTTGTAACAGTTTTTTTTTATACAATATGTGTGTGGCCAAAACGGTAGTGTACCCTTTCTAATCATATCTAGGTCTTGCTGTGAATATATTAATTAGCAAACAAAGCATGGAACAGATCCCACTTATTTATTTTTAAATATACTATTTACACAATATGATTATTGCTTATTAATAGTATTATTGAAATGAAAGATGGCCATGAAAAAACGAGTTTGACAACTAGAATGTCAACAAGAACATTGGCCAAATAGTTATATAGTTAGTAAACTAAGTAATCATAAAAATCATTTAGTTTAATTTTTTGGTAATATGTTGTTTGAGAGTACAACAAAAGGAGTATATATTAAGACATTCAAGAATTGAGACAATGTCATGAAACTACCGAAAATTATTATAATTAGACATAGACATAACATTTAACATTACCTGTCCATATTGTATCCCTAACTTTCGTACTAACTACTAACCGACGTGAGACTGATCTTAAATTATCGTGATTCATCTGCATTACTTTTTATTTTTCATTTATTCTTTTTTAGTTTAGTTTGGTTTTTGTTCCTGTTTAGTTGTTTTTTTTCTTAATAACAAATATAATATGTATTATTGGACTTCTTGCCTACCTTATCTAATTTAATACATTTTTTTTCTCATAGTAGTCGCCTGGAAGAGCTCGCTCGAAAGCGATAAGGCCTCCAGCCCTCCTTTTCATTTAATTATGTTAAATTTTTTATATTGTAATGCAACGAAGTGTTAATAAGTAAAATTAACATTTATTACTAACAAAACACACACACACAGATACACACAATTTAACAATAATAAAATAAAAAAAAAAAAAGAATGAGAGATAACAATTTTTTTTCTTTTAAAGAACAAGGTATGTTTTTAGTGTGTAATTCGTGTGTGCTGTGGTTGTAATTGGCCCTGGCTCAGCATTATGCTGAGGTGCAGACTGTTCCACGGCGCTGGTTATTCTGCCAGAGGAACAGCAGCTAGTTTGCGCCTCAGTCGCAAACAATGAAAAAGAATGTAATAATACTAATATTTAGTAGAGAAAAAAAAATATTAGTAGAAGTAATGAAGTCTTGTGTAAAAGTATATCTTAATATACATAAATTACGCGTCACGTTGTTTGTCCGCTATGGACTCCTAAACTACTTAACCGATTTCAATCGAACTTGCACACCGTGTGCAGTTTGATCTAACTTAAAAGATAGGATAGCTTACATCTTAATTTATACCCGCAATATTATTTTATTGCAAATTTTTTGTTTATTATTTGGTAGTTACAATTCTAACAGATGGCGCTGTGTTGAATGTATAAACGTTTCACTTAAGCTACAATTTAATGGCATAGCAACCAAAACTGGTGGTCCCCATGGTGTTCTCCTACCGTTTCCCTTGAATAGGTTACTACTATGTAATATAACTAAAACCTTAGCCACAGCAACGCTTGGCCGGTCTGCTAGTAGTGTATAAAATATAATTAAAAATAAGAATAATTGTTAAGAAATAGATAAATAAATATTTTTGGGCGGATTAAAAACTAGATTAGATAATTATCTGCATACATTTTATATTTGGTCTTAATAAATATGATCATGTGTCTAAATTCCGCAAGCAGCTTGACTGAGATACGGCCCTCATCTCCTTCAACTTCTATCCTCAATTCTTTTCAATCCCAAAACTACCTCTTATCTTAAAAATGAATTCAAATTCTCAGGTCCTTATAGTTATATGTTACGCTCTTCTAATAGATGCTTAGAAACTCCAACTCACAGCTCATCCTTCTTAGGCAATTCCTATAAGGTTCTAGGCTGCCCGACTCCATGATGATGGCTACCTCTCTAACATCTTTTAAAACTCTTCTTTATCATATCCTATACTGCTATATATCAATGGTGACTCTTGTAACTCTTGTATTTCTTATCGCAATCCATGAATCCGTCAGATTAGTTTATTTCATTAATTTTTTTTTGTATTATTTTAGATTAATTCTATAATTATTTTTATAATATTTGGTTATGCACTTGTAGTGTACTCATCATATTTCTTTTTTTCCCTGACTAGGGTTGCCTGGAAGAGATCGCTTATAATTTTTATGTATTTTTATTTGGTTATATAAAATGTAATTTTTGTGTAGGAATGGGGCGCAGACTCCATGTCAGTGGACAGCAACGAGGCGGGCGAAGGCGTGGAAGGCGTGGCGCTCTGGCCTCCAGCTCTACACTTCGGGCGCTCCGCCCTAGCAGAACCACACACACAATTGGTTACGTTAACGAATATGGCAAACACAACGTTGCATCTCGCATCTGTGGCGGGGACTACGCCAGACTTCCACGCTTCGTTCTTTGATTCCAAGGTATGTACTGTTTTTTTTAATCCCCAAAGGGGTTTCTGTTATAGGCTAAATTTTTAATAAAATATGTGGCTATATCTATCCCGAAAATACATAAAAAAAATTAATGCAGCACATGGTTGAAATTTTTTTATCTCGGCAACATTGCTGCAACAGTATAAAGTCAAAGTCAAATCGTTTATTTCAATTAGACCATCTAAAATGGCACTTTTGAACGTCAAAAAAAAAAAAATATAAAGATGATTCTAGTTGCCCCTTCCAAAAGGTAGTTTCGTGTGGAGAAGAATGGGCAAGAAACTCCACACTTACTCTTTTAAAATAGGTTTACAATATTTTGTTACATTTGTTAAATAATTATATTGAAGACAATGTACTCTTAGAATAAACTACTATACTAAAAAGTTAGTATACATGTTCCTCACATATTTACAAATATCGAAACCTTAGAATATTAACATTAAAGAGTAATAAAAATATTAAAAAAACACAACAAAACAGTGTGTGAGATACAAAAAAAATAATTACATTTGTAGCATTATATAAATTAAAAAAAAATTAATAATAATAATAATAACAAAAATTAACATATTTTTTTTTAGCAAAAAATCAGCAACCAATTTGATTTTGTCAGGCTATAGAGCCAATCATAGGATTGTCCTATGATCAGACCACATGTTTCCAAGCATTCTTATCTTGAATATAATCATCTAATTTGTAATATGCTTGTTTACAAAGTGTACTTTTAATAAAACATTTAAATTTTCGTTCATTTAGTTTTAAAATTCACAAGGTATTTTATTGTAAATTTCACAAGTACCCCATAAATGAATTTTGAACTTTGGCTAATTGAAAGATTTGAGCTATTTTATCTTTATTTTAGTACTAAAATTATGTCTTTCATTTATTTTACTAAAAGATGTAGATTCTTTCTTACATACATATATTTTATATAATTGAGGTATGTCATAATTATGGCAGCATATTTTGTTTATACACTGTCTATATACATAGCTTGGCTAGTACCTATGACTGCAATGGCGGACGAACTCATACGCAGCAGTTGCAGCAGCTTAGGGAGCGTTGAAGTGGATATGACCCCCCCATGTAACGCGTCGTAACGTTTTTCTGTACCCAAGTATAGTAAAACGTTTCGTGACCACCTAGTGAAGCTTTATACCCAAAAGTTACCATTATGTGGTGTAAAGTACTGGAAAGTCAAAAATAATATTAACAATAACGGCTTAATTCAATCTTTGTTATGTAATACTTGTCTATCTGGTCGCCAAACTCCAAAGAAGTGTTTCTTTCCATTTTTCGATGTTGTTTCTTGAAATAGGGAGAATGGAAAAAATGTATCGTGGAGTTGAGTAGTTAATGTATCACTTAACATCAGGTTAGCCTGCCCGTCTTCCTTCTGTAACAAAAAAAAATAATATAGAAAAATCTTTATTATTTGGAATTTTAATTTTACTTTATATGTTTTGATAAGTATTGTTGACAAGTTACTAGTAATTTTATCCTGAAACCTATCATTTACTTAAGTGAACAATTCATATATATATTATAAGTTATGTATCTACATTGGGCATAATAATTTTTGAGAAAAAATAGCTTAGGAATACCTAAGATATATAGTCTAGTATAAGCAAATGTTCATGTATATATTTTTCTGAAGCTTAGTGATTTTGGAATCAGGCCACTAACATATACATACTAGCTGTAAGCAAACGTTGTTTTGTCATATATACGTTACTCCTATTGAGTTTGGTGGTTGAAGGGTGATTTTAATAATATAATATTCCAGATAACACAGATCCATTTGAGTTAGTAAAAATAAAAAAAATAAAAATCAGTGGCGCTACAACCTCTTTAAGTCTTGGCCTCAGATTTCTGAATCTGTTTCATGATCATTTTTTAAAATCTAATAGGCAAGTAGATGATCAGCCTGCCTGACACACGCCGTCGACTTTTTGGTTCTAAGACATGTCGGTTTCCTCACGATGTTTTCCTTTACTGTTCGAGCGATAATAAATGCGCACATAGTAAGAAAGTCATTGGTGCACAGCCGGGGATCGAACCTACGACCTCAGAGATGAGAGTCGCACGCTGAAGCCACTAGGCCAACACTGCTCATTTGAGTTAGTAAGTATAACTTAAAATTTAAAAAAATCCAAAAAGGCGTGTTGGACAACCCGTCATCATCAGTCTCCATCGCGTTTGACCTTGAGAATTTCACCTTGCTCCAAGTCTTTCCGGCTCTTTTTGCCTCATCTCCAACTGTACGTGCAATGTCAATGTACACTTATGAACGTCAAAAAAAGAAATGTATATGAAATGCTTCTAACTTTACATTTAGTGCCAGTTCTCAAATCAAGGGCGTAGAACGGAAGAGAAGAACTGGCAATAAACCCTCCGCCACTCTTTTTTAAACGCCATGTTTTTTTACACAACGTTTGTAAGGAGCTGCAACCATTACACCATATTCCACATGACATCTTAAGTAATATCAAGTTAAACGAACATTGTGCCGTGTCCCTTGAACATTTATTTTTCGCAACAATTATTTCATATTAACCCTTTCATGCCACTTAAACCAGTTGGGAACTGGGTCAAACAGTCTCAAGCGCAGATGTCAACATTTTTATAAGCCGCAGCTTATACCCGCGTTCAATTGTCTTTGGTTTAACATTAATAGTATTGAAAGACATTTATTGCTAGACACATATATATAATGTAAGTTGTTTTCCACATAATTATTCTATCAGTTGAGCAGTGTTGGCCTAGTGGCTTCAGCGTGCGACTCTCATCTCTGAGGTCGTAGGTTCGATCCCCGGCTGTGCACCAATGGACTTTCTTTCTATCTGCGCATTTAACATTTGCTCGAACGGTGAAGAAAAACATCAGGCACTGGAGGCTGATCACCACCTATTAGATTTAAAAATGATCATGAAACAGATTCAAAAATCTGAGGCCAAGACTTAAAGAGGTTGTAGCGCCACTGATTTATTAATTAATTATTTTATCTAAAACGATAGCACTACACAATAATATCTACACCGATAATTATATAATTAAAAATACATTAAAAATATATATAGTACAGTCAAAGTCTGTTATAACGACATCGAAGGGACTACTCATATTTGCTCGTAAAAACCGATAGTTGTAACAGCCGATGACGTTGTTATTAAGAACCAAATACAATAGGATTCAGCCGGGACCTTTGATTTTGGTCAATATAACCGGTATGTTCTAAACGATGTCGTCGTAAACGGTTTTCACTGTACCTAGATCTTATAACTCATGATATAATAAGAGCACAATTCTTGTGCTCAGCATACAAACAAATAGGTCTATCTATAAAAATGTTATTACAAGTATCAAACTCAAAATAACTTTATTCATATAGGTAAACAAGTACACTTATGAACGTCAAAAAAGAGGTTAAATTAATTGTAAATTTACATTTACTACCAGTTCGCAAGTCAAGGGCGTAGACCGGGCAAGAAGAACTGGCAAGAAACTCTCCGCCACTCTTTTTAATCGCCAAGTATTGAATCATACAAATTGTTTGAACTGGAGCGAATCAATCCCAAGGATTAGGATCATTTAAATATTCGTCAAATTTATATAAAGCTTTATTAATTTATTTACGTTTAACGAGGGCTTTGAATTTATTTAGTGATATTCTCTAATTTCGATATCGGTCGAGTGAGTGGCGCCTCGCTCACCAAGTCGTTTCATATAAAAACAGCAAAGAAGTGGAACTCTTTACCCTCTTTTATGGTACCATGGGTTCATTGGTGGTGGTTTAATAGGCATCTGCTGGACTGGCGAGTCCCATAGGCCGCATCTCACTTAACATCAGGATTGTGGCCAAAAGTCTTACCTGTATAAAAAAAAAGTGCGTGCGTACAAAGTACACATGTCAGAAGTGAAACTTCTTTGGCAAACTAATTTTTAAGTCTTGTTCATATTTATACAAATCTAAAACTTTTGAATTCCGAGACTTAGAGGGAGGGAAAAAGGAAGATATGTTAGGAATTTAATTAATTTAATTGTCATTAAAATATTAAGTGTCGAAAATTTATTTCTTCGATAGTAATAACACATGGCTTTTTAATTTACAATTCCTCATTTGAGCTTTCAATAAATTATTTTGCATAAAATATAAAATACTAATATTTTATAAATTCTCAAAATTTTAATTTTAAAAATAGAATTTCTTTTCTTCGACAAAAACGCTGCACATATTCGTGACGTTCCGTACATTTTACCCTCATGCGTGAAGAAGTTTCACTTCAAAAAGTCTATAAAGATATTTGACAGTAGAGAAAATAATGTTTGAGTGTTATCTGTATAAAACATCATTGTTACAAGCGTTATGGAGTAAAATAATTTGTAAGTAATTTATGAAAAAATCCATACTTAGAAGTATTGATTGACGTAACACAAAAAGATCACAGATTAGTCCATGGTCACCCAACTATTTTTGTAAAATTCTTATGCCTCATGTAACATACATATACTTTTAATATAACAAAATTGAATGTTCACTTAAGAAATTTAAATGATAGGAAGATAGGAAATTGTTAACATAAACACAGTAAGTAAATTTAAAAAAAATAACGAAAAGCATCGAGTCCATTTTAAAATTGCCTTCTGGGCGTGGGGCCTACGTTGGAAAATAATGTATTAGTCAAATAGACTATGATGTATAATGTATTCGCGTTTAATTTGATCGATTGATCTAATATGTATATTTAATTTAATAATGGTAACGTTATGAACTCAATATTTATTTACGTGACTGCCATGGTACGTGATAGGGACTAGTGCGACGCCATCTTGTCTAGAGAAGCGTTTTGGCGGGTTTTTTGAAATGATGAATGTTTAATTTTAATAAAAGCCCATTTGGTTTCATAGTCATTAATAAATAATCTGAAATGGTTTTTAAAATATCGTCAAGGTAGCCCACTTCCAATGTCTTCCTGTCTAATTTG